TTTGCTTGTTGAAGGGAAGCCAACATGAAGCCGAAGCCATCTAGGGTTTCCGGATACCAACCCGCAGGGCATATCCTCTCCATGGGTATGTGTGAGCATCCGAAAAACCTTCAAAATGGGTGGTTGTCCTTTTGGTTTCCTTTGCCAACCCCGGAAAGGGCTATCCTCCAAAACAGCGGCACAGCCGGTGATTTGGGGGCTGCTGAGATTGGAGCGGCGCCATGCAGATTTTTTTTTGGACTCAGGTTCCTTCCAGAATCTGCGGTTTCCCTCTCGAGCCCCGTGTCCTTTCAGAATGTGTGGTTTCTTTCTGACCCCTGTTCCACTCCAAGGCACCAAACCCACCCCCGACTCCACCTTCTCCCAACACACCTCAAGTCTCCACCTCAACCCCACCCAACCCCAAATCACCCCCCAAAAGGATTCTAGGCAGCACAGCTGGTTCAAACATGTTCAAACAACCAGACCCTGGCCACCTTCAAAAGGGAACCCACATGAGGTTTGCTGAAAGGATGGCTACTGGGTGGCCTACCCTTTAGGAGGATACCATTTATCCCTTTAGGGACACATCAGCCTTTTCCAGCAGACAAACAACAGTCAACTTTGGGGTGAGGCTTTGGTGGATATGAGACTTTGTGAAAGACAGTGGCCCTCCTTAGCGCTTCAGCACAGGCCCGAGTGGCCTACCTGGAGCAAGCCATGCACGCCCGGAACCCTACCTTGTGTACTTTGGTGAGGGCAAAGAACATTTGATGCACCTGTTGTGTGGGGTCCATTTTGCTTTTCGAGAACTGTTTGTTAAGGGTTCTTGGCTCCTGGCCATATTTGGGACTGGTTCCAACTACCGCTGAGAGATTGCAACGCGTTCAGCAATGTCTCCAGACAAAGCTGTGTTACTTGCGACTAGGTTTGGCAAGTTTCCCAAGGCCATAGAGTGGAACAAAGGGCTCAAGTTGCTTCGTTAACAGCTTGATTTGATTCGCTCGTGTTTTGGGAAACCCGATGTTCCCTGGTTTCTCTACCTGGATGTTTCTTAGCTAAGGAACTAGGTTGCAACCACGGTCTTTTTCAGGGCAATGGGGTTGGTGGATGTATCATGGTGATCCCCTACTTGCCTGACATGCTTCGACCATTCCTTGGGGCCCTCATTTGACTTCAAAGACCCAGAAGTGCAATGGTCCAAAGATCGGTTCCGTTACTTGGGTTTGGTAGTGATTGTCATGAATATTCATATATATATATATCATACACATACACACGCACGCACACACACACACACACACACACATATATATATACATGTGTGTATATATATATATATGTATATATATATATATATAAACGCGAAGAGGGTTCCTGTCAAGGGAACCCGGACCATGGCCCAATGAGTATTGACCATAGCACATATGGCTGCACTTCAGGGGTCCAGACATGTTTTATTTTAGAGGCCGAATTGGTCAACAGGACTGAACAAACAGGTGGGTTCTGTGACCTCACGGGTTTGGGTGGGGTTTGGGGTATCGTTCTAAAGGTTGATACTTCATTCTGTTCACAAAGCATTCCTTTGAGAAGCAGAATGGCTTCAAGAATCACGACTTCCCAGTTTTAGAGGGTTGATCAGGAATCACTGGCTTAGCGAACCGACTCTGTAAAGTAGGCAACTCGTTTTCCTTTCAGATTTGGGCTGGTTCCTTTCGTCTGCAAAGCCAGGCAAACGAACACATGGTTTTGCCGTCGGACCGTCTGAGGACGAGGGCGAGCGTTCGGTCTCGCGGCTCGGGCTAGGCAGGGGGTTGGTCGAACCCAAGTCAGTGGGCGAGAGTGGGAAGCAAGGCCTGCCTTCCGAACCTGCAGAGTTGTTGGTTTCCGTGTAAATCGCCTCGACTCATGTAAATAGCCTCTTTGCCGGCTTGCATGGGTTTTTCTTTTGGCTCCGCATTCGACTGAAAAGAGTGTGTACTTTTGAGGCACCCAACAAAGGTAACCCAAAGGGAAAGCCGCGCTTTTTTTTCCCCCCTGCTGGGGGGCCCTATTTTGCACATGCCTCAGGTTTTTCTGGGGTTTCCAAAATGAGTTCATATTTCTTGGGTGGACTAAGGATGGAAAACAAATCAGAACAACACTGGTTTTGTGTGCCCCAGATTTGCGCCAAGTTTTTCTTAAGGATGGAAGGAACCGCGAGGGTTGTCATTCTTTGTAGGTTCCAACGATAGTTCTAAGTGGTTCACAACTGGTTTTGTTGGTTGCAAACGCTTAAAACCGCCCAAGAGGTGCTGAATTTAGAGGAACCGCTAGACTTCCTTGAGGTTGGGGACACCCCCATATTATTGAAACAGGGGTTCATTTGGATTCGGATCCAACTAGAACCCGTCCTGTTAATAGTGGAGTGGTCCGAAGCTTTGCGAAAAAGGGACACCTTCATCTCTCAAGAATCGATCACGGTTCTGCAGGGCTTCCTCCATTTCCCTTTTTAGAACCTCCGAAAGTGGCAGTTTCAATGGAACCACATCACTTTTGAAGGAGAATCCAGTGACCCTGTTCTGTTCTGCTTCATCCTTTGGGTTCCCAGTTTTCTGGGCTGTTCGGACACGACTTCTCCCATCCCCCCCCCCCCCGGGTGAAGACGCTCCGCAACCTGGGGTTGTGTTCTTTTTGAGGTTTCCCTCACCTCAAAAAAAGAGAAAACCGCGCCGCAAAGCCGCCAGACATGAAAAGAAGAAAAAAACAACAAAAACATGACACCAGCTTTCTTGAGGTTTTGAGAAGCCACCAGTTTGGGAAGAGATGTTGACACAGACCCATTTGGCTTGGGGCCTGTTCTTTCCGCAGGCAGCGAGCGGGGGAAGCCCAAGGTCCGGAGTCTCGCGAGGAGCGCGGGCGCCTCACTTAATCCCCCACCAGGGAAGCCCAAAGAACCCCCCTCCCAAAACCGGGTCCCCCCCTTTTTGGGTGGGGGGAAGCCCAAAGAAACGCGAAAAAAGCGGGTTCCCACTTATTTTGAGACACATCCAAATTGCTATAAGGTTAGTAAGGGAGTATGGGTTAGGGGATACGGTGAGTTTGCAAGGTTCTTGGGGATCATCCCCTCGCCACGTGGCAGAAGGAAGCAAGGCGTGACCTAGTTTGGGCATGTTCCCTGCCATTCTTGTGGATTTGAAAGGAAAGCCCGCGCGACTGAGGACTCACAGCGCGCGAAGTCTGCCTCTCCACGTTTGGACCTAGCGAACCCCAGCGCCCGGTGGAAGATGTGAGATGTCCCTTCATGAGTGGTCTGGATTGGTTTGGATTGGTTTGGATTGGTTTGGATTCGTTTGGGGATCCACCACCTAAAACCAACAAGCCCAACAAACACATCCATTGGAAGGTAATGTTGGAGAATGGGACAAGGAACCGAGCCCGAGCCCAAAACACATCCATTGGATGTCAGACCTCCGACCGAGAGGAAAGGTTGAGAGCCCAAGTTCTGGGCTCAAGCGGACCGAATTCAGGAGCGTCTGGGGCGACGCCTTGGGCTCAGAGTGAGGGGCAGTGACGGGGACTTGGCTTGGCGCGGCGTGGGGGCACGCTGGGTAGGCCATGGTGAAAAACCCACTTGGCTGTGCTCAAAACCGTTTTGGGATCCCATTTTGGGGTAGGTGCACCACCCATGTTAGTCAATTTTAGTGGGGATTGGGATGTTCACCGGGGGGTACGGGATTTTGACCCAGAGCCACTTGTCAGGGGCACAACCTCATGGTTTGTTTCATCAGGCCAATCACAGGACAGGATCTGGTTTCCCGTTTGCACTTCCTGCTTGCTGGGGTTTTGTCCTAAGTCTATTCTATATTTTGGGGTAGACTAAATATGGAACGGAGTCAGACCGTCTTATTTTTGTGCACCACCAGGTGTGGGCCAAGTGGCCAAGTTTGGACTACGATAAAGATGGACCCCTGCTATGAGTGTAGAACCCCAAGGGAGGGCCCCGGTTCCTTTGCTTCCTGAATTTCCTTTCGCAGTGGAACCGACGAGGCCACCTGAACCCAGTGGAAAAGCAACCATGGCAGGAAGTCGGCGAACCTCCTCGCGGAATGTGGGTGCATCTTTTTTAGTGGACCCCCAAATCCTTTTGGTTTCGCTTTGAAACCACTAAATTGAAGGGTACCCTCCAAACTCATGTATTGTTTTTCGGCTGTGGCGTGGCTTTGGGCCGTTCTGAGTTGTTTGCAAATAGGGAACCGGCAGCAGGCAAACTGCACAAAATTCCAGCTCGGCTGGGGTTTGCCCGACTCATTCGCTGAGGATGACCGGGAGGCCGGCCAAGTTGTGACCGGACAGGCACCGGGCTCCGCACCCCCCAAGCATGACTGGCAGGGAGAAACATATGGCAACCCCACCCATTTGAAATAGGGTTCCCCGTGTTGGTGGGACGTCAGCGGCTCTGTGAATGGCTTTCCAAGAGGATCTATGCCAGTTGAATATAGGGGCTCAATACTTAGAATGGGTTCGGATACTTTAAGATCGAATATAGTCAAATCATACGGAATGTGTGTGTGTGTGTGTGTGTGTGTGTGTGTGTGTGTGTGTGTGTGTGTGTGTGTGTGTGTGTGCGTGTTCATTTCCGTTTGAAGAAACCACTGGCTCGCGCTGAACCTTACAAATACGACCAACCCCTTCATAAAAAGGCAAAAACACACACACAAACAAACAAAAAAGCCAAACAACCAAACTGGTCGATGGTCCGGCCCAACAGCGTGAGAAATACAAAGCCATCCGAGGTTGACATGACCAACCTTGACAATGATCGAAAAACACCATCACGAGTAAGACTCATGATGACAAGTAGAACCATCACCGTGCACTACATTTCAGGACGATAACCACAGTCATCACAGGTATCTTGATGATAGAACAGCTTGCTTTGAGACAGTTTGATTACAAAACGCATATTCCCCTTACAACCTTTTCTCCTGAACGCCTGCCAGTAGCTCTTGTCAGGAGCCAGTGCGCAGGCCCGGGAGAGGCGCCAACTGAAGGGCTTGGGTCGGGAGCGGGCTCCTTGGCTCACTGGGCTTCCGGACTCACATGGCTTTTGGCGAATGCGATTTGAGCGCCGTGCAAGCTTGGACATGCTTTCTGACCAATGCACTCCAGAAGTCACCGATACTGATGTTCACCTCAAGAAGTCACCGATACTGGCCCTCAATGCTCCTTAGCGGCCCCCAATGAGCACCAGTCACTATCAGGCTGCAATGGCTCTCTTTGCTATGGCTCTGACTCAGTGTATGATTTGGGGTTGCTTGCAAGTGATCAAAGCATGCCGGCTTTTGCCCCTGATGGCGTTGTCTTGTTTCCACACCAAACCTTTTGGTAGAACGTTGGAGGGTGTCCCACCAGGTGAAGCATAGCTTCACGCCCACTGATGCTTTCAGTTCGTTTCCTTTCGTTTGGGGTGAGGGTTTGCAACTCCGTTGACTTCACAACCTAGATGTGTCAATCACTGCAACCAAACCTTGTGCCGCTATGAAGCGGCTTGCTTGAAGCTCGCCCCCCTGTGGAAAGCTGCCGGCCCTTTGTTTCATGATCCTGGGGTTTGGATCGACCCTGGGGTTTGGGTACTTTTGCACCCAGGTTTGCTTGTGGCTCGTCTTGTGTGTAACCACGCAGTTGATTGCTGCCCTTTGGAGAGAGTGGCTTTAGCTTTAATGGAGGTACTCCTTTTTTGCATCACGCAGGCTGCTAGAGGTTTGTGTTTTGCGCATGTGTGTGTGTGTGTGTGTGCAACATCTTGCTTCCCCAGGAAGACGCAAGCAGGCGGGAGCAGGGGAGCTGGGGCAGTGGCGACGCGTTCGGCATTCGGTCGAGCTTTCCAAGGTGTTTTTTTTTAGCAGCACCATGTTTTGGTGTTTTCTAGAGAAACCAACAGGAAAACCCCATTTTTTGGGGGGTCATGGGAATCTCGCCACATTTCCCACAGCCACAGGACTTTCAATTTACCCATAACAGACAGGGTCGACGTTGATCAGGCTTGCCCCTTTGGCCTTTTCAAGGAACTTCGTCTTCCAGGACCCCGAAACGTCAGGTTCCATGTTAGTGGACAGGAGTAGTTCTTATGCATTGGAAACACATGTACATGATTCTATAGATACACACAACAACAAGTCAGCATACATATCGATATGTGACACTATAAGCAGGCATGTGTGTAAGTACACGTATCTATGCGCATGTCTATCTTATCTTATCTTATCTCATCCTATCCTATCCTATCCTAGGTGAGCGGGCACCAGGGACTCTTTCAAGACCAGCCTCGCAAAGCACGCTACACAGCGTTAACATAACATCTCCTGTTTCTGCACCTCTCCCCTTGTGTCCAGCGTAGCTCTGTGAGCAAAAGAGACACGGATGTTCCTATCCTATCGTATCTATTTATAAACATACATATGTGTGTTTATATGTATCCTGATGTATATAAATACATATATATATATACACATACGCATATATATATATATATCTATATGCACAGGTATATAGGTCCCCTGGGTATAGATCTGGCGGTGAGCCGTGCAGGACCAAGCGGTCCAGGCGGCGCTGGAGGAGGTGCCCTCGCTCCCCGCCTCCGCGGTGCGAGGGGGTCGATGAAGCGTGCAGGGGAGCGAGGATTTTGGTGCATTTTGCCCAGGGATGTTTGGACTTTTTGTTGCTAACTAATGGGTTTTCCGTATTGAACCACTAAAAGTTAAACTTTTAGCAGGGGAGCACAAAGCAACCGAGAGGAGGTTGCAGCCATTGGACAAAAACCCTCTGCGCCTTCTTCCCCAGGATCCTGCTTCTCCCTCATCATCTCCTTGTGTTGTTTTACGTTTCTTGTTTGCGCTTCGAGGAAAGAAGGTGTCTTATCTAAAGTTTATATAAGCATATGTTTGATACCCTCCCTCCAACTAACATGGAAGTGTAAAGCGGGCCTTTCCAAGAGGAAAGTTGTCTCTCTACAGGGGTCTGTGCACTTCCATGTTAGCTGGTGGGAGGGGTATGTGAAAGAAAGCGGGTCTTGTCTGAAGTTCATGTATGTTTGCAATCAAACCCATTTTTCTCCCTCCCCCCATTTCCGCAGGGAACTACTCAACGCCTTGGCCCTCGTCCAGGCGGCCTCCCCGAATCACGGCGGCGTGTCCAGTGCGCCCACCTCGCCCACCTCGCCCGGCGCGCCGCTGAAATGCAGTGCCGCGGCCCCGGCGCGGGCGGAAGTTCTTCTGAGAAGCTTCTGATAGATAGACGGATGGATGGATGGATGGATGGATGGATGGATGGGTGGGTGGGAGTGGGCGGAGGGGTATGTCGGTGGGTGGGTGGGTGGGTGGGTGGAAGGATTGGTAAGTGGGTAGGTAATGGCTGGTTGGTGGGTAGGTAGCTAGGCATGAAGGAAGGGAGGCAGGAAGGAAAGGCAAGGTGTGGTAGGGTAAGGTAAGGTGAGGCAAGTAGGAAGGTTTGTGGGTAGGCAGGTAGGTAGGTACGCAGGCAGGTGGGATAGCCGCATATGCATACATATGCATACAACCGATATGTGAAGGGCAGCGTGACGTTGTTTGGCCAAACCGAATATTGAAACACGTATGACACAATTGTCCTTACGACTCGCTTTTCGATATGTAGCATGATAATTATTATCTGCCTGAAAAAGTATATATAGACATGGGGGCAGTGTATCCTACGTCTGTCACAGGTTCGGGTGTTCAGGGCGCGCCAATGGACCTTCATTGGCCCTTTTTTGGGCGCTAGCGCCAATTGTGAATGGGGTCTGCAGGCGTTTCTGAGTAGCTTGCAATCACCTTTCGAGACCTGCAAAACACAGATTACAGTGAGTCGAAGCTTTATCGATCCTCCAAAGGCACGTAGGGATGGTCATGAACCCAGACATTGAGACGATGGTCAGTAGGAGACGAATGGGTGGGCTTTTTCATAGGCAGCATGTAGAGGGTACGGGTCAAAATGACACCTCCAGAAAATGGCAGGTTTAAGTCATTGGTTCCATTTACCAAGGTAAGTGAGAAATAGGGCTACCCTATTTTTGACCCACATGCAGAAAGCGAGGGGAGCTCCCTCAGGCCCACCTGCGGGCGATACTGGAGCGCCAGCAGCGGCGCTGCCTCTTCCTGGCGGACGACGCCTCTCGGACGTCGGACGTCGAGTGGCATCGCTGGGAAATGGCGATTGAAGTGGCCGGCTATTTTTTTGAGTTACTTGTGTTTCGTGGTGACGCCATGTTTTTTTTTTTTTTTTAGGTGGGGTTTTTGGAGTTGCCCTTCTTGTTTGGTTGGTCTAAAGGGACACCAACAGGAGCGCCCACCTATTTTGCGGGGGGAGGGGGGGGGGTCGATTTTGGCCATGGTTAGTGATATGAATTCAAATCCCAACTTAATCATTTTGGTTGGCTTAGACGCCTCAGAACAGAAGAGGTCCCAAGATTATTTACATGGTCCAAAGGGATTTGCTCACGCACCGCCATGTTTTAACACGAGGCGGGGACGCTTCGTGATGAAGCTATTTGTTCAAGTCAAAACCAACAGGCGAATAGGAAGCTAAAACACGTCAGAAAACCAATAGCAACTGGTTGTTTGAAAGAGACATTTAAAGTTGCCTTGTTTGGTCTGCTAAGGGTCCATTTCAGCACCAAGACTCGCCTGAGGGTTCGGGTTCCCTTTTTTTGAGACACATTTAGGGGTTGCAGACACGGAAGCACAATAGACACCCATGTTGCGCAGCGTTCTCAAAGGGAAACCAAGAGGAAATCATCCTCTTTGGCAGAAGTCATCGTTTTTGGTGTCGCAGAAACCATTCTTTTGGGGGTTGGCTTTTACACGCAACACCAAGAAGCTACCAGTTTCAAATTCCAAGGAAAGGCAAAGAAGAACCAAGAGGCTTAGGAAAACCTCAGCCACCCCATGTGTTTTTCCGATCAAGCTTCCGCCCCATCCTAGGTTGCGATGCTGGCCGAGGACGCTGTTGTTGCGACTGGGCATTTCTTTCAACATGTCAAGGGCTTCTTGTTGAAGCTACCCTTCAAACCAATCCCTCGTTTTCTTCGTTGCAGCTAGAGGGTTGCCCTCCAACCGACAAACGTGGGTTGGTGCATCGCCTCGTCAAGACTACTGTCTGAAGGTTTTCTTTCGTTTTTCTGCCCGCCTCAAAGTTTCAGATGTTTAAATCACGCCAGTCAGGAGTGGTGGCTCGAAAGTAGAGGCATTTTTGAACTTATTGGCGTGAAGCTTCTCCAGTGGCCCTGGCTCCAAAAGCGGGTCTCTGGTTCCGTGGCTTCTCTTCTTTTTGGCAGGAGTTCGGCAAACTGCAGAGCAAGCCCCTGGCAGCCACCGGCATGTGGGTCAGGCCGGCCGTCCGTCTGGGTTTTCGTTTTGGGCATCGATCTGGTCGTGGCTCAACACCGTTTTGGGATCCCATTTTGGGGGTTCTTCGGTGAATTCACCAGCCATTTTAGAACCTGTTCTAGTGGGAATTGAATTGGGATGTTCACTGGGGGCACGACTTGGCTTTTGAAAAGCCCATGGCCATATCCCGAGCTCTCGGAAGCGATCCGGCGCGGGTTTGGCCCCGGCCAAGCCCGCCTACATGTAGGGATTCCACAGATGTTTCTAGGGGTAACTTCCATGTCCATTCTGAACCCAGGGATCCGGATCTTTCTAGAAAACCACCAAAAAATGTGGGGAAATGGCCGGTTGTTTAAAAGAACGATGGCTGAAAAGAAGGGGAAACCAACCCCCAGAATGTTGGGAGTCCGCTGATTTGCATGGTCCTTTGGATATTGCCCCCTTCCCCGGTGCTCGGTTTCTGAGAATGCAGCCATTTTTCGCCTGCGCCTGCCTGGTTCCTTCGGCGGCTTTCAGTCACGGGGCTTTTTTCTTTCCTTTTTCTTTCGTCGGATGCTGGGAACCAAGGGGACCACCCCAAAGATCCGTGCAAACACGTTACGCCAAAAAAGAGACGTAGACATTTTCCCACCACCACATATTTTTTTGATGCATATTTTTTCCATTTTGATGAAACACAATTGGAAACAAATACAAATAGAGCATTTCATTAGAAAATTAAACAATTCTGATCAAATTGAAAACCAAAGACACATTGACAATTAGTGAAAGTGGGAACAATATGTACTTTCGGCAAATTGTTTTGATGGAAACCGTGTCATTTTCTGTGTGAACAAACCTACACTCAATGATAGTTTTTGCAAACATAAACAACAACGACGAAAATTGTCTGTGATATCGACGTGCATGTTTGTATGTATTCAAATAGTCTCCATGCTGTTTGTGATTTTGTGATTTGTGATTTGTAAATAAATATATATATATATATAGATGGTCATATGATGTCACGTGATGATATTTGGACATATGCAACATCAATTTTTAATGGTTTTTCACGTAGACAAACAGCAGCAGGTATTAAATGGATTGATGAGATGTTAGGTGCATTATATAGTTATTTAGATAATTTATCAATATTAGATAATACAATTATTATATTTATAAGTGATCATGGTGATGCAAACAAATGTTTATATGAACGTGGTATACGTATATTTCAATTTATTAGATATCCAACTCAATTTACTGCAGGTACAATATATGATGCTTTTGTTATTAGTAATATTGACTTAATACCAACATTAATTGATTTAATTGGAATTGATTTAAGACATACAATAAGTTGTGAAACATATACACATATGGATGGTATATCATGGTTAGATGCCATATCAAAAAATAATAATGATGAGCTTGAAACACGTATAAGTTATTTTTTCAATCACGTAGTATAGTAGGTTGGAATAATGCAGAAACACGACAATTGATATATATATATATATACATATATATATATACATATATATATATATATATGTATATATCGTAGCACTAATGAATATTGGGAAAGTACAAGTTTAGAAGAACCATATCCACATATTGCATTAACAGAACAATTATATAATTTACATCAAGATGGTGATGAAACTACAAATCCATCAATGATGAATTCAAGAAGAGCATTAATGAGAACACATATTGATAATACATGTGTCGCAACTAGTTGTCAATGTACACAACCATAAAATTATATATATATATATATTTATGTATATACTATATATATATAAATACATTGTGTGCATATATGCTTCCTTCCAAGTGATTTTGTTGGGGGTTTCCCATCTACCCTCTACAAGAACCAGGGGTTCAAATCCCCAAACCACCAATCCAAACCGCCAATTAAGGGTTAGCTGAAAAGACCACAGGGGGATTCCCCAAGTGGCGGAAGGAGAAGTGGCCAAACTTGCGGCCTTTCATCCGGCCTTTCATCCGGGTGGTGTCCCGGTTCCTGCGTTCTTGTTGCCTCCGGGTGAAGTGGACTGGTTAAAAGCACACGCTTTCCTTTGCCGCAGACAGGGCCCGCGGCCAAGGTTCAGCAACGCAAGCGGAAGATTCAGACGGCTACGAGCCACGTAGAGGAAGAACATACAGCAGTTACCGCCTTTTTCGGGCCCCAGCTAACCCGCCCAATTTACTCCTATGGGTCTTGGCCGTATTTGTCCTTTGTTGGCTTTGACCTGCTCATTTGGCTCACCTTAAGCGGTATAGAGGATCCTTCTGCCCAGACAACCGATCGCCCAAGGTCCCGAAGCGGCTGTTGAAATCAACAATGATCAAAATGAAAATAGATCAAATCCCAGTACTTCCATTGCAGAAGAACTGTTTCATTTGCCCCCTTTTGGTTTTCAAAGGAAATCGACAACTGGACACAGGTTGCCAGGGGACGAAACCACGAATGGAGGCAAAGGGGTGTGTCTTTTTTTAGGGAAGGTCGCAACTTGGATTTCGGTTTTTCAGTTGGTTTCCCTTAAACACACACACACAGACAAAAAAAGGTACCTAGCCTCTAAAAAGATACACCCAACTCATGAGTCAGAGAGCAATTTTGATGGCTAGCGATTCGAGGATCCCAAGTTCACATCGAACCCCTCTCCTCCCAGTTTCTTGTTGTCCAAACGTTGAGTGAGGCGAACGGGGAGTCAATTTTCTAGACATCGGCCCCCGCTGAAAAACAGAAAAGAAAACGGAGGGTCTGGGGCTTGCGTCCACCTTCGTCAAAACACAGAGCGGGTCGATAAACTGGGTCTGGAGTTTCTTTCAAAAGGGGCTGAGCATCCTTAACTGTTAGAGTAGCTTTCTCTTTTTCAGGTGAATCAGTGCCTCAACTGATTCTTTATGGCAGGCAAAGAGTCAACCAACCCAACCAACCCGCAATGAGCCTTGTTAAGAGATACTGTGGACCAAATCCTGCTGGTAGTGAAGTCCAATTTGAATACTGATTGATACACCACCTGCCAACTGGCGCGAACCTTTTCAGGCTTGCTTCACAAGAATAGGCCATCATTTGCCCTTTGCAAGGGTACCCCACGCACATTTACTGTGGGCAAGATTCAATTGGCGCACACCAGGTGGTTCATTCGTTCATTCCAGCCTGAGCTGTTCAAAGGGCAACATTACTCCTTGGGTTAATGGTGTCCCCTGGTGATTGCCCAATAGGGATTATGGAGAATCGGGTTGGCCGACACTCCATCTTGAACAGAGTGGTCGAGGATGTGGCTGTGGGTCAAAAATAGGTATCCAAAATGGAGCCCTGGTAAATGTATAACCCGCGGTCCCCTGGTTTAATTTTGACGCAGCTCCACAGGGGCATGAATTTTGTTTGGGACCCTTTGGTGGACATCATTTAGGCGGGGATATATGTCCACCATCCGTTTGAGAGGGTGTTCCGCATCAGATTCATGCCAAATTCGGTCTGATGAGACTTGAAGCTGTCGTCTTTGTGCCAGTTCCGCTGGCTCCAACGAGTGAACGGAGGCTTTGCCGGAGGTCTCGCGTAGACTCCAATAGCTTTGAAAGATTCTCGCGTCCTTTCGATACCAGGTGAGCCATAGCACCCGCTTCCGGGTCCCAGCGAAAAATGGGTGCCGCCCTTGTATTTCTTTACATAGATTTGGCCTACGTTGCCCCAGAAGGAAAGAGGATGGATTATTTGATTCATTTTTCCAGACCCTCTGTTTCAGCAACCAGTCGAATTGCTCCTCCGTGAAGTGTGACAAAAGCGCTGGGGGCCCAGAAGCGCAGTTCATTTGCAGCTAATGCAATTTGCGTCTGTGACGCAAGAGGGAGAGAAATTCGGACCCCAGCCCTGACCAGGTTTTCAGACCAGCCAATCCTAAGAGGCTCGGTCTGAAAATCGTGCCCGGGCTGGGGTTTGGGGATTCTCGTTTTCCCCGAGATCCCGAGCTTCAATGCAAAGCAAGGCTCATCCAAGATGACACGCTCACAAAAAGGTCGCAGCTTGTCCCGTCAGATCCTCTCAGGAGACAGAAAGGTTCCTTAGGTCAGCATAGCATCCCTTCGAAGAGGTTGGGGGTACAGAAGGGTGTGCGTGTTCTTCTCTCGATCGTCAGGGCTTGCGGAGTCTGGTTTGCACTTGCTTTTGTACGGACCTGAAAGCGACCTTGTGCAGAATCATGTGAAATGTTTTGCAAAGCTAATGGGACCAGGATTGAGAATCCGCTGGTTGGTTAGTAGGGGGGTGTCGCACGTTTACACGGGATCTTCAATTTTTTGGGAACATGTTCTAAGTATGCGCCAGGTTGATGACGCCGAATCCTGGGTAGCAGACAGAGATTGGGAGGCGAGCGTTCAGGGTAGTTGAAACCACCATTGAGAGGGTCATTGACAAGTGACCTTTGAAAAGACCAGCGACCCGCTCGTGAATCGCATCACACTCATCATGTAACCTGTGTTGTGGTCAAGGCAAATTGGATGCTCCGTGGTTTGTTGCAGCACAACTTCTAGTTTTGACTTCCTGGTGAACAGCAGCTGTATGATTCTAGCCAGGTTCGCGATTCATGGGTGATGAATTGTGAGTTCATAATGCCAATAATGTTCATGACGTTGATGCAGTTAGTTGCTGACAGCGATGGAGAGAGATAGAAGAGAGAGGAAGCGAGAGATGAAAAAGAAGACGCAGAAGAAGAAGAAGAAGAAGAAGAAGAAGAAGAAGAAGAAGAAGAAGAAGAAGATGAAGAAGAAGAAGAAGACGAAGACGAAGCCGAAGACGAAGACGAAGACGTGATGATGACGGTGATGGTGGTGATGACGATGATGACGATGATTATGATGATGATGATGATGATGATGATGATGATGATGATGATGATGATGATGATGATGATGATGATGATGATGCGATGGTGGTGATGATGAGGATGGATGAGGATGATGATGATGATGATGATGATGATGATGATGATGATGATGATGATGATGATGATGATGATGATGATGATGATGATGATGATTATGGATGCGGATGATGATGATGGTGATGATGATGATGATGATGATGCTGATTATGCGGATGATGATGATGATGATGAGGATGCGATGGTGGTGATGATGAGGATGGATGATGATGATGATGATGATGATGATGATGATGATGATGATGATGATGATGATGATGATGATGATGATGATGATGATGATGATGATGATGATGATGATGATGATGATGATGATGATGATGATGATGATGATTATGGATGCGGATGATGATGATGGTGATGATGATGATGATGATGCTGATGATGATGATGATGATGCTGATGATGAGGATGATGATGATGATGATGATGAGGATGCGATGGTGGTGATGATGATGATCATGATCATGGTCATGATGATGATGATGATGATGATGACGATGACGATGACGATGACGATGACGATGACGATGACGATGATGATGATGATGATGATGATGATGATGATGATGATGATGATGATGACGACGACGACGATGACGATGACGTTGACGATGACGATGACGATGACGATGCATAATTTTGACCTGTCACGCCAACCATGTGGTGGTTTTATCATTTTAGTGCATTACTGCCGCGCGATCTCAAGGGCCAAACAAAAATCGATCTCCGGCGCCATGAGTTTCGAGGTTGAATGGAATGGTGCTTTTGAGAAGGTTGTGCTGGTGGATTCCGCAGCAGCAGCCGAGCGGGTCCTTGCCGCCCTGCAAATGACCTCCGAGACAAATCGCTTTTTGGGCTTCGATACAGAGTGGGGTGCTGAAGGTCAGGTTGCTTTGTTGCAGTTAGCCACGGAATCCGTGTGCCTGCTCTGTTTGCTGCCCGAGGTGTCCCTGCAAGATTGTCCAACTTTAAAAGCCATGCTTGTGGATCCCAGTTTTATCAAGGTGGGAGTGGCTGTTGCTTTGGACGCGGACTTGTTGAAGGAGCAGTTCCAGGTTTCTGTGAAAGGTTGCTTGGATTTATCCAGGTTGGCTTTCCGGGAAGGACGGGTGGGCGGTTCCCAGCCCATCGGCCTAGCAGCTTTGAGCCAGCTGCTGTTGGGCTTGGAGTTGTCGAAGGATCCGGCCATTCGTCGCTCCAACTGGGGGCTACGCCCCCTGTCCCAGCAGCAGCTGCACTACGCGGCCAGGGATGCCCTGGCAGGCAGGGATTGTGCCAAGGCCTTGGCAGCAACTTGCCGACCTCCGGAAATGGAGGTGCTGGCGTGGTGCCAGGAGTTGTTGGACATGGGAACCATGAAGCCCACGAAGATCAAGAAGGCTCCAAGCCCGGAGGATTCCGGCGAAGTGCGGGTCAGCAAAGCCACCTTGGAGTGTGGTGCTTACTCCTGTGTCACCAAGTTTGGGTTGCGGCGGATTGTCGGAAGTGACGGAGAGCAGTTGTTGCACATGAAGGATCGAACAGTGGAAGGGCTTTTGCGGCGAGGCATGGCCTCCATCTGCCGAGACTCTGGAGATGAGGTGGTCCAGTTGAACTTTACGCCAACGGATCACTATGCCTATGCCGGCCTGGATGCTGCTGAGAGGAATGCGTGTGTGGGTTGTGGTGCTTATGGTGTTGCCAGATATTACATCATCCCGCGAGTTTTCTTCGCACATTTGCCCCAGCAGTGCAAGTCCTACAACTGCCACGATGTGGTAATGCTGTGTCCCAAGTGCCGAGCTATTGCTGAGCCAGCTCAATTGTCCCTGACCCAGGATCTGTTGGCTGCGCATGGCGCCCTTCGTGCTGGATCCATGTATGCCAATGAGAACTTCCTAAGCTCGCGGCAGATCGCGGCCAAGAAGGCGGCGATCACCCTGAAGAAGGGTGGCAGAGGGAAACCCTTCCCAGAGGCCAAGGAGCACGCGCTACGAGAAGCCGTGGCCGGCGGTCTGGGCATGTCAGCAGCAGATGTTGCAGAGCTGCACCTCACCATGGCGGAACAATTGGGCAGTGGCAGTTTGCCAAGTGAGCGTGTGGTGCAAGCTGCATCTTCCAGTCCAGAATCCTTAAAAGGATTTTTGCGGTCTTGGAGGGAGTGCTTTGTGAAAGCACTTCAGCCCAAATATTTGGCTGAAGGTTGGAGCTTGGACACGGGTCTTGATGGGCGTTTCATCCCCTCCGTCGCATCTTCATTGGAATGGCCCGGGGATTGGCGTTGCAACACCTGTGGGGTCCATTGCTTCGGGCGAAGTGACCACTGCAGATGCTGCAAAACACCGAAACCCGATCCCGAGCCGATGGCGAGCGTTGCAGCTGGTGCCTGAGCTTTGAAATCTAGGCGGTGCTGGAGGTCTGTCGTGGCGAGAATTCTGAGGCCATGCTTGATAGTTGGTCCGAGGCAGGTCGTGTTGCGATGCTTTCTGCAGCCAGAGGTGTGCAGGAGAGCAGGTTTGCCCAGGCCAGTAGTACCCTTCAATGCTTCAACTCTTCCAGCAGATGCAAGCCAAGCTCTGCAGATCCACGGGAGTTTGGAGTTTGTGGTCCAGGCATTGCTGCGAAAGAAAGGCCTCTCACAATGCACTGAAGTGAGCTCAATGCCATGGTCGGAGATGATGCTGGAGGTGTGCGCCTCAGTTTCTTGAAGCACTTGTTGAAACTTCGCGTAAAAGAACATGTGCAGAGGTGTTTGCAAATGGACTGCTGAGTCACAATTGGCTTGGCAAACCTTTAGAATCAATGCGGTTGGTATTGCCATCGAGCCACCTGACCAGCAATCTCCGCTAGCGAAGGATCTTGACACCGGAAGGTCCGCTTAGCAAGCTGCTGTGCAGTAGCAGCTGGTGTCGGAGCGTCGTTGTGGCCAAAAGCTGCGACCTACAGTAGCGTAACATGAGTGCAGCACAGGACCGCGTCAAGCTGATTCGTCAGAACCTGGTTGGCATCTCAAACCGTCATAGCCCTCAATCCCAAAATAGAACGGTTTGCTTGTTGGGCAGATGGGCGCAGCTCTCGCAAAGGATTTCGTCGCATCCTCTTGCAGCTTGGAGAGAGGTACTCTTTTTTGAGGGTGGTTTACAGTCCCACCAATTAACATGGAACCTGACAGGGGGTCCGTTTAAAAGGAATATTGTCTTCCAGGACCCCCCAGTCAGGCTCCACGTTAATTGGTGGGAGGGGTACCACTATAGTTTTGATGAGCCACTGCGCTTGAACGTTTGCTCGAACTTGCCGGGCGCTTGCTAGCTGCGTGAAGAAAGCACCGCACGAGGGAGAACCATAGAGACTGCAAAAGGAGCAACTTGAGGGGGGAACCTTGTGGACAAGGAGTGGGGGTGGGAGAACTTCCAGGAGCAAGCCCCACTCCAATCAAAACTGTCATGGACTGACATGAGAACTGCAAGTTTCTTGGTCATCATGTGGCCTATGCCATGTGAGCACTGCAAGCACTGCCAGTCTATGCTTTTCCTGGCAAACTTAGAAGAAGGTGTCCTTTTTGCTTGTTTGGGGAGAACAATTCAGATGGGTTTCCCTGGTTTAACTGGTGGTTTCATCATCTACCAGGGATATCCATCTATTTACCCTAAAAGGACACCTATGTGCAGGAGTCCATCTTAGGGCCAAGCTCCAAATAGGAGAGACAAGTCCTACGAGGGATTCATTGCTGGTCCGTTGTGAGCAGCGGTCAATATACACCATTTGTAGTAGACGGGATAGTGCTCACCAGCAATTGCAGGCGAACTCACCAAGATTCAATGTCACTAGACCTTCCCAGTCGAATCTTGTGGGTCCATTTGAGTCTTCATCGAGCGAGCGATCCGGGATCGATCCATGCAAGAGCTGGGCGATGGGGTGCTGAAGCAGGCGCGGAGCCTGGTGCTTGGCTTCGGGACGCCTAGCGGGTCCCTCTTTTTGGTTTTAAAGGAAAGCAGGAAGCCGATCATTTGTGGGGTTCCCTTATATATATATATAATATTATATATATAATATTATATATATATAATATTATATATTATATTATATATATATATATTATATATATATATATTGAGAAAAAACAACAGCACACAAATGGGTGGTGTGTGTGTGTGTGCGCGTGTGGGTTTCAGAGGTTCAGTTCCCTTCCACTATGGTTCAAAGGGGAACCCAAAGAAAGCCTACCAGTCCGGGGGTCCACATCCCCACCGAATTGTCATTAGGAAATGGGGGGTTACTCATCAAAACCTGGTGTCATTGGGGGGCACGAGACACGTGGCTCGTGTCCTTCACGGGCACGGCATCTTTTGACGGCTTATCTGAAGAGACTGCGAGGATATTGGAGCACCATGACTCTACAAGCAACTTCGAAGGAGAATGTTACCTTTGGCGTATTTGGTTTGTAGAGCTGGAGCCATCAACATCAATTGGAGTTGGAGACCGTTCCCTTGCGCGGGATCGGAATGTTTGTCACCTTTGGTTCGCCATGTGACTTTTGAAATGAGAGGAGCAGGGGATCGGCTGACTGCAGGGGATCTTTTGACATGCCTGTTGCAGCCGAAGGGTTTCCACTGAAGTGAGCTCCAAGAGAAGCCGGAAAGGACCAAAGACCGCCCAGCCCCCTTGACAGGGGGATTTTTTTTTTTTGGGGGGGGCTATCTCTGAATATGCCTTGGGAGATGCCAAGGATAAACAAGCCCCTTCCAGGACTTGATCCCTTGCTTCAGAGCCATCCCCTCTAGTGCCCCTTGTGGCTTCTACAGCAAGACGACAGCCGAAGCACCAGTTTTGGGGGGCCGGAAAAAAGAAACATCTAGTTACTTGCTGCCAGGGTTGTGGGATCAAGGGGTTTATCCCCGCTTCTGTGATGCAAGGGATTCCCACTTTACTGTACATGGGAAATTAATCTTTCGGGAGGCCCTTTTTGGTTGTATCACAGATGCCTGGCTTCCATTTCCCCTTCATATCAGGGGTCCGTCTTTGGGCCCTTTTTGGTTGTATCACAGATGCCTGGCTTCCATTTCCCCTTCATATGGGGGGTTGGTCTTTGGGCCCTTTTTGGTTGTAGCATAGATGCCTGGCTTCCATGTCCCCTTCATATGGGGGGTCCGTCTTTGGGCCCTTTTTGGTTGTATCACAGATGCCTGGCTTCCATTTCCCCTTCATATGGGGGTTGGTCTTTGGGCTTGGGCCCTTTTTGGTTGTATCACAGATGCCTGGCTTCCATTTCCCCTTCATATGGGGGGTCCGTCTTTGGGCCCTTTTTGGTTGTATCACAGATGCCTGGCTTCCATTTCCCCTTCATATGGGGGGTTGGTCTTTGGGCCCTTTTTGGTTGTAGCATAGATGCCTGGCTTCCATGTCCCCTTCATATGGGGGGTCCGTCTTTGGGCCCTTTTTGGTTGTATCACAGATGCCTGGCTTCCATTTCCCCTTCATATGGGTGGTTGGTCTTTGGGCCCTTTTTGGTTGTATCACAGATGCCTGGCTTCAATTTCCCCTTCATATGGGGGGTCCGTCTTTGGGCCCTTTTTCGTTATATCACAGATGCCTGGCTTCCATTTCCCATTCATATGGGGGGTTGGTCTTTGGGCCCTTTTTTGGGTGTATGACAGATGCCTGGCTTCCATTTCCCCTTCATATGGGGGGTTGGTCTTTGGGCCCTTTTTGGTTGTAGCATAGATGCCTGGCTTCCATTTCCCCTTCATATGGGGGGTCCGTCTTTGGGCCCTTTTTGGTTGTATCACAGATGCCTGGCTTCCATTTCCCCTTCATATGGGGGGTCCGTCTTTGGGCCCTTTTTGGTTGTATCACAGATGCCTGGCTTCCATTTCCCCTTCATATGGGGGGTTTGGTCTTTGGGCCCTTTTTGGTTGTATCACAGATGCCTGGCTTCCATTTCCCCTTCATATGGGGGGTCCGTCTTTGGGCCCTTTTTGGTTGTATCACAGATGCCTGGCTTCCATTTCCCCTTCATATGGGGGGTTGGTCTTTGGGCCCTTTTTGGTTGTAGCATAGATGCCTGGCTTCCATGTCCCCTTCATGTGGGGGGTCCGTCTTTGGGCCCTTTTTGGTTGTATCACAGATGCCTGGCTTCCATTTCCCCTTCATATGGGTGGTTGGTCTTTGGGCCCTTTTTGGTTGTATCACAGATGCCTGGCTTCCATCACAGATGCCTGGCTTCCATTTCCCATTCATATGGGGGGTTGGTCTTTGGGCCCTTTTTGGTTGTATCACAGATGCCTGGCTTCCATTTCCCCTTCATATGGGGGGTTGGTCTTTGGGCCCTTTTTGGTTGTAGCATAGATGCCTGGCTTCCATTTCCCCTTCATATGGGGGTCCGTCTTTGGGCCCTTTTTGGTTGTATCACAGATGCCTGGCTTCCATTTCCCCTTCATATGGGGGGTTGGTCTTTGGGCCCTTTTTGGTTGTAGCATAGATGCCTGGCTTCCATTTCCCCTTCATATGGGGGTCCGTCTTTGGGCCCTTTTTGGTTGTATCACAAATGCCTGGCTTCCATTTCCCCTTCATATGGGGGGTCCGTCTTTGGGCCCTTTTTGGTTGTATCACAGATGCCTGGCTTCCATTTCCCCTTCATATGGGGGGTTGGTCTTTGGGCCCTTTTTGGTTGTAGCACAGATTCGCTCAGCTCCGCTTACTGCAAACCTGCAAACCGAGTTGCCAGGTCTTGCGCTTGGGCGATGGCCCTGTGCCTCAGAAGGGCGACCGCGCCGGGGGCCTCGGCTGGCGCGGCTATCACGCGGAGGGAATTCCCCCAGAGCGCAACCGGGGTCGCTCTTTCGTCATAACCCCAAAGGGGTGGAATCAATTGGCACCCCTGTTGATTCTTTCTGGGGTTAAAGTCTCTTGAGTGTTTCTGGGCTAAGGTGAGACCAAAGGGGTCGGTTGCAGAGCTCCACGAGTGGGGATAAGCATTTGGCGCGACCTGAACGGGGGACATGAGGCGAATGGAGCAATCTACGCCTCGCCGAGCTGTCGCTCTTTTTTTTTGCCTTGCTTTTGGCTTGTATGTTGGTCCCTCGCCAAAGAGGGGCACATGAATGGAAAGTAAGAGGGAATATGGGGGCAAGCGGAGAAGCAACGCCAGATCCCATTCAGTCAGATTTGCAGGCTGCTTCCTATCGGTTTGATGGTCGTATTGTCAGGTCATATTATGGCGTCAGTGACAAAATGGCTGGTCTGTCAAGGATGGGAACGAGGGGTCTTTTTCCGCAAAAAGTGGAGAAGCTCACCCAATTTTCGGAACACAGGTATCGTTTTCTGGGGCTCTTAAATTTTGGGCCACGCAACCTGCAGGGCGGTGTGGTCGGGTTGAGGGTGCCTTTTTGTTGGGTTGATTTGAAGGGAAACCCGGAAAACCCACCCACCCAAGCACCTGAGTTACAAGTCCTTGGGGAAATTCAAACATCCCCAGAGATGCGAACGGAGGTCACGGTGCACTACTCCTGCCATCGGCAAGATGTCCTCCTGGACGAGTCCAGAGGCCTCGAAAGTGGCTCGACCCCGTTTGGGACGGCGCTGATCTCTGCCGGCTCGTTGTTTTTTGGAGAACATCAAGGGCCCCTCATTTTGATACCCCCCCCCCCCAAGTGCTGGACCTGTTGCTAGGGAAGTACTAATAGTATCCATCTAAAACCATGGCGAAATGTGCCTACAGCCCCGTGGGTTGCCGGCATCCCTCCATCCTCCACACTGCCCCGTCATACGTACCTTGCAAAGGGCGCTTGTGCATTCTTTGATTCTTGGAGTTCAACCCGTGGTCATTTTGCATTCTGCGCTTTGTGGCATGATCTTGAAGAAGCTTGACATGGGTATGGGTCAACATTCAGCCACCAGAAAAAACCGCAGGTTGTGGTCCATGTTTCCATTTACCTGGGCAAGCCATTTTTTGGGGTTACCCGATTTTTGACCCACCACATAGCCATGAAGCCATTCTCACGTGCGCAAGATGATATCTGAGATATCGCCACTTAGGTTGCCGCATGCGTTGGCTGGAGATGGACACACGAGAAACTGCTGTCATTGTCATAGATATCCTGCATTCAAGGTGTTTGACTTGAGATGTACTGGCTGCGGATACTTTCTGTGGAGTTTGTGTCTCTTGAAGAGATTGGATTTGTGATCACAGACTTCATATTATGAATGTTGGCAGTTTTGGCTTTGACGTGTTGACTGTAAAGCTCATCAAGGTCTGTTCTTTTTTTGCTGTTTAGACTTTTCGCATTTAGGATCTCGGAGCTTGCGCAGGTTTTTGTGTAGGTCTAGGGTTTAAGTTTAGGAGTGTAGGTTTAGGTTTAGAGTGTTAGGTTTCGGTGGGGCTCAGTTTTGGGTATTGCTTTTGGTTTCGGGTTTAGCTTGTTTCAGGTGTTGAGGCATTGATTTTGGGTTTAAGTTTAGGGGGTCGGTTCAGGGTTCAGGTTTCGGGCTTGGGTTTAGGCTGCAAAAGGCATGCCAATTCCTGACACGTTGGCCAGGCCGCGAAGCCATGTCTTTCGCGCTGGGCGCAGGCGGGGAGAAGATCGGGCGGAACGGGCGCAGGTGGGTGCGATCAGGTTTATATTGTTCCGAAAAGGCACCCAAACCGGGATGGGTATGTCTTTTGCAGACCCCCCGTTTAACACCTTGTTTGGCTTCGGAATCTAAATCTGGATAGCCAGTTTTTTTTTCCCCAAAAGGAAATCAACAGCGGATGGGGTATCCATGTGTTTCTATTCTAGCGCTGTTTAAGAATCAACAGCTATAAAATTTATTGTCACTGCCAACCTCAGGGTCGCTAACCGAATCTGGGCTTTTAGGGTCGCTCACGAATTCTTCTTGCCATTCCACAGATCTGGCGCACTCCGTAATCAACATCAAGCTTAATGGAGCTTACCAAAAGCCCACGGCGCATCAAAGTGGCAAGTTCTGGTGACTGTTCCCACTACCTTCTGCAGGTTCCGACCTGAAGATACGGCCACAGAGCAAGTAATTACAAGTTTAAGGTGTCTTTCTTTGGGGAGCCTCCTTTTGGTTGGCCCCAACCATGGAGGTTTGAAGAATTTTGAGACAAACCCCACCCCCGCGGAGTGTGGGCCATTGGTTGTATCACTCATTTGGCTCCTCATTCAGGCTCAAGAGGACAGAAGTTTGGCCCAAAGGGAGCAGGTGGGCTGTGTCTCATGGGGGGAACCTCCGCAATGAGAGGGTTCCTTTGGGCTTTCCTCCAAACCAAATCCATTTTGGGTACCTTTTGACAGATGTAGAGGCTTTGCATCTTTGAATTTGGGGTACCTTTTGACAGATGAGGCAATCGTCCGTCCTCAGTCGTTGGGTTCGAACATGTTCCAGCTCCGATCGGTCCGATCTCGTGGCCGAGGCGAGGTGATCGCCGGCTGGGAGCCGACGGCTCAGAGCCGAAACGGGAGTCCGACCCGTTTTGGGGGCCTTGTTTCTTTTTTTTTGGGGGGGTCGCTTTAAATCCAACCCAACCTTTTCTTTCTTTTTTTTTGCGGGTCGCTCAAAAGAAACAAGCCACAAGAGTGTGCCCTCTTCTTGCTCTGATCCAACTAGGGAACTCTGTTGCCTGTTGGACCCCTTAAAGAGCCCAAGAGAGGTGCAGAACCTTTTCGAGGGGCGCCAATCCTTCAGCATCCTCTTGGAGGTCCATTCACAAACTCCCCGAAAGGTAGTAAGGTTCCAGCATGGAGCTGTGCGTATCTGGGTGGGACTTTTCGGGTCCCGAGTTCAATTGCGCCTTTTGCCCCGGGTTGTTGATGCCAAATCCACCCGTGGATTCCTCCTGTGCTAAAGTGCTAAAAGAGAGCAATCGTTGGAATCCATTGGGGCATCCACGGTGTTGTGCCAGATCTTGACCCAAATCTAATTTCTTCAATCCATGTTGTTTCAACCACCCCTCCCACCAAATGTGACATCGAGCCCCCGACCAAGAGCAGACCTCTTCTCAATGGTCGCACGCGACCATGGAGGGTGGCGTGCTCAAGATCTCGGCTGAACGGTGCATTGCTCCGAGCACTCATCATTTCAGTCACTGCCCGGCGTTGTACTGCCAGGGGTTCAAGTCATAGGTGTCCTTTTTGGTCGATTTGGTCGAAAAATCGAGGGCGATTCCCGGTTTACCTGGGGGTTCAATCAACTACCAGGGCCGTCTATTTGCCCCAAAAAGGACACCTACGGTTCAAGTCCTGCGGGACCTCGCCAAACACACCAGGGCTCTCCACAACAACTGGACCATGAAGCTCAACCGGTCCACCTGCCAACCAAAGTCGTCCAAAACGGCTCTGTGCAGCAAGTCAGTGCTGGTGCGAGGGTTGCCGCACTTACAAAGCCAGCTCCTGTTTTTTTTTTTTTTTTTTTGGGGGGGGTGTTCCAGCAACACCCACCTATTTGATCCCGAACCCAGAAAGAACTCTGTCTTTCGCAAAGCCCGCGTGTTTTTCTGCGCCGGGTCCGGAACGAAGTCGTGCCCGTTTGCGGGTTCCAGTTGCTCGAGCCAGGCGAGCGCTGGCCTCCATGAAGCAGGGCGAGCTGGCGGCGCTCGAGGCGTCCCAATCCGGGCGGCGGATGGCTCGGCTCATTTTTGGAGGCGAAGGCCCTCCCCCCCCCCCCGCGTTCTTAAGGGAAGACAAAAGGCCGTTTTGGGGGGTCCGGTTCCTCACAAAAGAAGCAGAAAAAGCAAAACAAAAGGCCGAAAAGTGAGATGTCCCCGGTTTGGTGGCGGTTTTGATTAGGCCCAAGAAAAGGGGAAGGCGCGGAAAAAGAAAGGCGAAGCAAGGCCACAAAAGGCTGACAGTGAGGGGGGCGAGGGGGGGGGAGAGGTGTCTTTTGCAGCACCCCTTACATTTGGATCCCTTGGTTAATGTTGACCCTGGATCAGTAAACCTGTCCTGTGAATAGGGGGGTGTTTTCTACTCCCAAAGTGAGGAATACCCACTAAACTCAGGGACACCCCCCTCCTTTGAACGTGGTTCAGTTTTTTTTTTTAGTCTGAGGTCAACAATAGGCCTCCGGAGATTCTGCGTTTTGAAAGATCAGACAGAGTTAGAGGTTGTCACTTTGGGCCCAACAAGACCCACACGTGGGTTTTGCTCAGACCTTGAACACGGGTTGGGTGCTCCAGTTGCGGATTCAGCGCATCTCCAAACCGAACCTCGGACGCAGAGCACACACACACAAACACACGCACGGTCGAATCAGACTGAGCTCACCGATTAGGGGTAAAGGGAACCGACCCATTTTTGAAGGCTCAGCCATGATGCAGGCCCTCCACCAAAAGATCCCTTATGTTCAACTCTGAACATGAATGTTTTGTACTTTCCGCCGACAAGATACGGCGGTGTTTCCCCAAAGAACTCCTTCCCCCAAAAACCCGCCCCCCAGTGGCTTTGTCTCTAAGCGGGGCAGCCCCCAGAGTAGGTGGTTCCCTTTGGTGTCCCTTCAAAGCAACCCGAGAAGTAGCCAGACGTATCCACAAAACAAGAGACACCCAATTGGCCTCCTGGGTTTTGCAGAAGGAATCTTTCCGGTCGGGATTTTTTGCCCAGCCCTGGCTGCCCCCCCCCTCCCGACATATTTGTTTGGTTCAGCAGTTGACTCGATGCCGTCGAAGTTCTCTTCCCTCCAGTCGTGAAGACGAAACATGGGTCTGTCTTTTCTTGAGGCGCGGTTCCCTTTTTTTGATGTTTTTTCTTGAGCTTTGAAGGGGAAAACGAGACATGGCGTCCCCAATTTTAAGACACCCCAATGGATGGCCAAGTTTTTCTCGGGTTCCCAAAACGGGGCGCGAGGTCTCTTCCCAAAACGGGGCGCGAGGTCCCTCCCGAGATGGCCTACGGGGAAGCCGAGGTCGCAGGCGAGTCGAGGGGAATAGCGGTTCTTCGGCCTCCGATTCAAGTGAGCGCGCCAAACAAGTCCATCTTTATAAACCGTTGGGTTGTTTTTTTTGTCGAGACCAAATGTTTGGCTTTGGCTTTGAGGGAAACTAAAGGAACGCACTGGTTTAGCTGGGTTGTACAAAACCATTTACCAGGGTTTCACCCATCTATTTTTCCCTCGTGAATCGTGGTAGCTAGACAAAATGGCTGTGGCTCAAAACCAAGGGACCATTTTGGGGTAGGTGCAGCACCCATTTTAGAACCTGTTTTAGTGGGGATTGAATCGGATGTTCACTGGGGGTACGATTTGGCTTTTGACCCATGACCAAATGTCGCATGCCCAACTGTGGGTGCCACGAGCTTTTGCACTTTGCGCTTTGCTCCTTTCAAGCACTTGTCAAGAGGAATCCAGAGGTGATTCGGCATCCAAATCGGAGTTGCGCCGAGACTAGAGGTAGTTCGGCCTCCAAATCGGAGTTGCGCGGAGACTCAAGATGTTACTACAAACACAGCGTAGAGAATGGGAGGGGTTTTCTTTAGTTCCCCTCCAAGGAGGTATCCCCTGTGCCAGAGTCTTGGAGCAATGAACGCCCATCCAAAATAGACAGACACTGCTTTGCAATCTAGATTTTCCAATTAGAACCCTAGTCACAGGAGTCTCCCTAAAATGCGGAACCATCTCACTGAAAGTTGGAATTAAGCCTAATGTTGCAGGGGAGCATCCGGATTTCCTCTCATTCCGGCCAAGCCGCCGTCGGCTCCGCGCGCGCGCTCGCGAAGATTCATGATCGCAGGGGGAGTCGGCCCCTTACGCTTCGAGCCGCCAGCTGAGGAACTTTTCTTGTTTTTTTTTTCATCTATGGCCTTAAAGGGGATAAGAAAGGGAACTCGCCAAAATACCATTTGGACATGTAGCCAGGGATCATAGATGTCCTTTCTAGGTCACTTTGATTGAACATCGCTCCATTTTTCGCTTTCACTTTGGGTTCAGGCTCATTTGCTATCCATTTTTACAAAAGGCCAACATAGCCATGGAGGCTGCTTCTATGACTTCAACTTTTTGGTTGAACCAGCCGGGATTTCCGAATTGGGCCCGCCACAAGTTTCCGAACAATCCATCAGACACACATATATATATATATATATACATAGTTGTCCAGCGGACCCGCAAAAAACGCGTCGTTCGACCACTTTTTTGCAGAGTCAGGGCCAGCCTTTTTTGCGCTGGTCTTCTTTTCAGACCGAGCGGTATCCGGGGACATGTCTCCCCCCAGCCGCCAGCCCGCCGCTGAAGCCGCCAGCCGGAAGCTCCGAGGCTGGAGCTGCTGGAGGTGCTGCCGGCCGCTGAGGTGCCCTTCCCCGTGAAGGAGGACATGTCCGCGGAGGCGCGGAGCGGAGCGGAGTGGTGGGTGTGGCAGAAGGCAGATGATGGGTGGGGGGGGGTTGGTTCTGAGCTTGTTTTTCGGTTTGTCAGGGTTACCTTTTTGGCTTTTTGGATTGGTTTTGGATTGGTGGTTTGGGGATTTGAAGGTGTGGGTCTTGTAGAGAAGGGAAACCACCCCCTAACCAGCAAACCAGCGCATTGTGTGGGTTGATAAGGGCTTAGATGGCTTCTAAGTGGGTTTGAGGGTTTGCATGGGTTGAAACCGGGCTTGTGTGGGTTGAGGGCCAGCTTGGATGGGTTCATAGGTGTTTGTCGGGGATATGTGGGTTTATGTCGTTCGGTTCCTTTGAGAGGCAACATGTTGGAGGAAGCACAGGGCTAATGCTGTTGCACCCCGAGGATTTGGGGCCGAGGCCCCAATTTGCTGGCACCCCCTTTAAACGGGACCTGTTTTGGCTGTACGCCAGCATGGGTGAACTGCTCTCTCTTTTTTTTGGAGCATTTAGGAGTCCTTCGGCACAAGAGCACATCAGTTTCCCTTGAGCCGGTGGTTTGGCTTAGTTGGTGGCCCAGGAACTTTCCGAGCGCCTAGCACCAGGCCTTGCCTAGTCTTGGACACCCGGGAGAGAGGGCTGGGGGTGGCCTGAACGTTTTGGGTTGGACGTCTCCTCCGTTGGATTTTTGGGGCAAAAGTTTGCACCGGTGGTTTTCGAAAAAGGAAAGTGTGCTTGGTTGCCGTTGACCCCCCTGCATGTTTGACTTTTCGTGAAGATTCCAAAATCCCCCTTTTTCAACCCAAACGGTACAGTCCAAAGATCCGTACCAGATCGCCATAAAGTGAGGTTGACATCCATAGGCTCCCAAAGCTTCATGTCTCCAGGAGAGGCTGCTGCAAGCCGCCAAAGAGAAGGAGGAGGGCAACGTGCATTTCAAGGCCAGGCTTTTCTGCTTGCTGGCAGCCCCAAGGCAAGCCAATGGTTTCCGCCTTGTGCCAAGGCACAGCCTGTCCCTCAAAATGGCTTCTGGGTTTCCCACCCCAAGCCTGGTTTTGTACCGGAACAAACATGTGGATGTTCACAACAAATCGTAGCTTTCCCCAGAAGGGCCGGTTCCGTGGCAAAATCCGTAGGGAGCTCTTCGCGGTGTTTCTATGGCCGACGCCTTGGAAACTCGTGTTCTCCGCTTAACACTCGGTTTGGTTTGGGGAGGGGTGTCTCTCAGAGTTCGAGAAGAAAGCAGAAGGGTCAAATGGGAAAAGAGGACGGGTCAAGGGGTCAAAAGCTCTTGGTTTTGCCTTCAGCTGTTTGTTGCTCTTTGCCCCTTACTCAGCTTCCCACTAGTTGGTGGTTTGGAGCCCGGTTGGTCAGGGGGTGGTTCCCATTCATTCTACAAGAACCAGGGGTTCAAATCCCCAAACCGCCAACCAGAATCAAGATATGTTGGTAGTTCAAACTTGTCAAAGGATTTCCGACGCAGAGCAGGAGTGGTTGATTTCACACACCTCCTCATGTCCTTGCGTTTCCGAACAAGACCACTGGCTTGGTTGTTCAATTCCGATCGTCAAACTTTTCATGTTGCCAACTAGCTCCTGTTGCCGCGGTTGTAACCTAGACGTTGGAACAGCAATGGACCGGAATAGGCATCAATAGGAACCCAAAAGAAGCTACCCACTTTGAGCAGGATTACTGCCCACTTCAAGTACCAGGGCCTCTTCCCCTTACACATTTTGCTAACTCAATCAATGTATCACAGATCCGTGAAATGGTAATTCAGCCACAACCCTGACTTAAATTGTTTTCCTCTCAAGAGGGTGGTAGTTTGAGTGGGAAGTGTCAAACTACCTTGGGGACAAAGTCTCGGTTCCCCCTTAAATGTGGCTATGGTCTCTATGCCAACCTGGCCCACCAAAATCCCCTTCTGGGGTTGGAGCGCCCTGGTGCCCTCAATTGGTTTCTTTCCCTGATTGCCACTCCCATTCTCGACGTGTTGAACCCCCCCCCCGACCTTTCCCCCATCTTTCCCCCCGATGGATTCGCGGGTTTTTCGTGCCCGCTCCAAGCTCACCCAAATCCGGCAAGCCGGTGACTTAGGCGTGGTTTCTTTCCCTCGTTGCCACTCCCACCCCACCCCCCATCTTCCCACCCCCCCCCCCCCCCGACTCGCGGGTGCCCTCCCCGCTTAGGCGGGCAGCTTCCAGGAAGCCAAAGAAGCTTACCTGAACGCGCTCTACCTCTTGGGCTTTGAGGCGTTTCGAAGAGGTCGAGAGCCAGCGAGGACAGTGGCCCCCTTTTTCGGCTCTGATGGGAACGATGCAAATTTGATATATATATATATGTATGTAATGTATGTATGTATGTATGTATGTATGTATGTATGTATGTATGTATGTATGTATGTATGTATGTATGTATGTATGTAATGTATGTATGTATGTATGTATGTATGTATGTATGTATGTATGTATGTATGTATGTATGTATGTATGTAATGTATGTATGTATGTATGTAATGTAATGTAATGTAATGTAATGTAATGTAATGTAATGTAATGTAATGTAATGTAATGTAATGTAATGTAATGTAATGTAATGTAATGTAATGTAATGTAATGTAATGTGTAATGTAATGTAATGTAATGTAATGTAATGTAATGTAATGTAATGTAATGTAATGTATGTATGTATGTATGTATGTATGTATGTATGTATGTATGTATGTATGTATGTATGTATGTATGTATGTATGTATGTATGTAATGTAATGTAATGTAATGTAATGTAATGTAATGTAATGTAATGTAATGTAATGTAATGTAATGTAATGTAATGTAATGTAATGTAATGTAATGTAATGTAATGTAATGTAATGTAATGTAATGTAATGTAATGTAATGTAATGTATGTATGTAATGTAATGTAATGTAATGTAATGTAATGTAATGTAATGTAATGTAATGTAATGTAATGTATGTATGTATGTAATGTAATGTAATGTAATGTAATGTAATGTAATGTAATGTAATGTAATGTAATGTAATGTAATGTAATGTAATGTAATGTAATGTAATGTAATGTAATGTAATGTAATGTAATGTAATGTAATGTAATGTAATGTATGTATGTATGTATGTATGTATGTATGTATGTATGTATGTATGTATGTATGTATGTATGTATGTATGTATGTATGTATGTATGTATGTATGTATGTATGTATGTATGTATGTATGTATGTATGTATGTATGTATGTATGTATGTATGTATGTATGTATGTATGTATGTATGTATGTATGTATGTATGTATGTATGTATGTAATGTATGTATGTATGTATGTATGTATGTATGTATGTATGTATGTATGTATGTATGTATGTATGTATGTATGTATGTATGTATGTATGTATGTATGTATGTATGTATGTATGTATGTATGTATGTATGTATGTATGTATGTATGTATGTATGTATGTATGTATGTATGTATGTATGTATGTATGTATGTATGTATGTATGTATGTATGTATGTATATGTATGTATGTATGTATGTATGTATGTATGTATGTATGTATGTATGTATGTATGTATGTATGTATGTATGTATGTATGTATGTATGTATGTATGTATGTATGTATGTATGTATGTATGTATGTATGTATGTATGTATGTATGTATGTATGTATGTATGTATGTATGTATGTATGTATGTATGTATGTATGTATGTATGTATGTATGTATGTATGTATGTATGTATGTATGTATGTATGTATGTATGTATGTATGTATGTATGTATGTATGTATGTATGTATGTATGTATGTATGTATGTATGTATGTATGTATGTATGTATGTATGTAATGTAATGTAATGTAATGTAATGTATGTATGTATGTATGTATGTATGTATGTATGTATGTATGTATGTATGTATGTATGTAATGTAATGTAATGTAATGTAATGTAATGTAATGTAATGTAATGTAATGTAATGTAATGTAATGTAATGTATGTATGTATGTATGTATGTATGTATGTATGTATGTATGTATGTATGTATGTATGTATGTATGTATGTATGTATGTATGTATGTATGTATGTATGTATGTATGTATGTATGTATGTATGTATGTATGTATGTATGTATGTATGTATGTAATGTATGTATGTATGTATGTATGTATGTATGTATGTATGTATGTATGTATGTATGTATGTATGTATGTATGTATGTATATGTATGTATGTATGTATGTATGTATGTATGTATGTATGTATGTATGTATGTATGTATGTATGTATGTATGTATGTATGTATGTATGTATGTATGTATGTATGTATGTATGTATGTATGTATGTATGTATGTATGTATGTATGTATGTATGTATGTATGTATGTATGTATGTATGTATGTATGTATGTATGTATGTATGTATGTATGTATGTATGTATGTATGTATGTATGTATGTATGTATGTATGTATGTATGTATGTATGTATGTATGTATGTATGTATGTATGTATGTATGTATGTATGTATGTATGTATGTATGTATGTATGTATGTATGTATGTATGTATGTATGTATGTATGTATGTATGTATGTATGTATGTATGTATGTATGTATGTATGTATGTATGTATGTATGTATGTATGTATGTATGTATGTATGTATGTATGTATGTATGTAATGTATGTATGTATGTATGTATGTATGTATGTATGTATGTATGTATGTATGTATGTATGTATGTATGTATGTATGTATGTATGTATGTATGTATGTATGTATGTATGTATGTATGTATGTATGTATGTATGTATGTATGTATGTATGTATGTATGTATGTATGTATGTATGTAATGTATGTATGTATGTATGTATGTATGTATGTATGTATGTATGTATGTATGTATGTATGTATGTATGTATGTATGTATGTATGTATGTATGTATGTATGTATGTATGTATGTATGTATGTATGTATGTATGTATGTATGTATGTATGTATGTATGTATGTATGTATGTATGTATGTATGTATGTATGTATGTATGTATGTATGTATGTATGTATGTATGTATGTATGTATGTATGTATGTATGTATGTATGTATGTATGTATGTATGTATGTATGTATGTATGTATGTATGTATGTATGTATGTATGTATGTATGTATGTATGTATGTATGTATGTATGTATGTATGTATGTATGTATGTATGTATGTATGTATGTATGTATGTATGTATGTATGTATGTATGTATGTATGTATGTATGTATGTATGTATGTATGTATGTATGTATGTATGTATGTATGTATGTATGTATGTATGTATGTATGTATGTATGTAATGTATGTATGTATGTATGTATGTATGTATGTATGTATGTAATGTATGTATGTATGTATGTATGTATGTATGTATGTATGTATGTATGTATGTATGTATGTATGTATGTATGTATGTATGTATGTATGTATGTATGTATGTATGTAATGTATGTATGTATGTATGTATGTATGTATGTATGTATGTATGTATGTATGTATGTATGTATGTATGTATGTATGTATGTATGTATGTATGTATGTATGTATGTATGTATGTATGTATGTATGTATGTATGTATGTATGTATGTATGTATGTATGTATGTATGTATGTATGTATGTATGTATGTATGTATGTATGTATGTATGTATGTATGTATGTATGTATGTATGTATGTATGTATGTATGTATGTATGTATGTATGTATGTATGTATGTATGTATGTATGTATGTATGTATGTATGTATGTATGTATGTATGTATGTATGTATGTATGTATGTATGTATGTATGTATGTATGTATGTATGTATGTATGTATGTATGTATGTATGTAATGTATGTATGTATGTATGTATGTATGTATGTATGTATGTATGTATGTATGTATGTATGTATGTATGTATGTATGTATGTATGTATGTATGTATGTATGTATGTATGTATGTATGTATGTATGTATGTATGTATGTATGTATGTATGTATGTATGTATGTATGTATGTATGTATGTATGTATGTATGTATGTATGTATGTATGTATGTATGTATGTATGTATGTATGTATGTATGTATGTATGTATGTATGTATGTATGTATGTATGTATGTATGTATGTATGTATGTATGTATGTATGTATGTATGTATGTATGTATGTATGTATGTATGTATGTATGTATGTATGTATGTATGTATGTATGTATGTATGTATGTATGTATGTATGTATGTATGTATGTATGTATGTATGTATGTATGTATGTATGTATGTATGTATGTAATGTAATGTAATGTAATGTAATGTAATGTAATGTAATGTAATGTAATGTAATGTAATGTAATGTAATGTAATGTAATGTATGTATGTATGTAATGTAATGTAATGTAATGTAATGTAATGTAATGTAATGTAATGTAATGTAATGTAATGTAATGTAATGTAGTGTAGTGTAGTGTAGTGTAGTGTAGTGTAGTGTATGTAATGTAATGTAATGTAATGTAATGTAATGTAATGTAATGTAATGTAATGTAATGTAATGTAATGTAATGTAATGTAATGTAATGTATGTATGTAATGTAAGTTAGGAGTTTATTTATGTGTCTAAACTTTTTAAACCGAAGCATATTTGGGTGATGTTGACAAATGATTTTGTAAAGCATAAATCAAGAGTGTTGGGGACATGGTCCTTCTTAGAACATCTCAACATTCGAAAACTCAATCGCCCACGATTTTGGGTTAGAGATGTGCCAAGCTCAGTCAGTTGAGGACTCGTTTAATTGGACCCGACGGACGTCCCCTCGCGATGGGCCGAATTTGTACCAAGTGCCAAGGGTTTGGACAAGGCTGCTGGAATAGCAGGTTTTAGTCGGGTAAAGTTTTTTGGGTTCGCCTCTAAAAGATAATCGCAGCTTGTTTTTACTGGAAGAGGGGTAGGGTATCAATAAATCCTGTGTATACCTGTTTGGATGCCCCTTTGGTTTCCTCCCATTGTTAACCTCAAACCATGGGGACTCAGACCACTTTTGGAGGGGAAACCACCCCCTATTCATAGGACGGGTTCTACTTAGATCCGGGATCAACATTGACAGACAACCACAGCTTTTTCGCTGGACCAACAGGTTTTTTTTTCACACCTGCCTTATTTTGGTGCCCGTGTACAATCCTTCGCGAAAAGAGCGCAAGAGTGCCAAAGCAATATCGAAGAAAAGGGGAAATTCCAATCCCCAGGCCTCCCTCATACCCCCATGCGAGGACTGGTCTGATTTTTCTTCGCAGGCCGATTGCGACCAGCGCTCCGAAGAGGGGGTTTGGTTGGACGCGTTTCGCCAGAGGCTTAGCATGACGGCTGATTTCTCGGTGGCGCGGGGTGCGGGGTGTCAGCTATGCCCCTTGGGAAGGTGGCTCCGTTTTCGGGGTTCCAAAGGGAACTTGCAGAAATCCCTGCAGGCCGTTTCTCTTAGTCGCGAAATGGGCCAAACAAATCAAGCGAGCTTCCTTTGGGTGGTGAACGCCAGACCTTCAGTGCATTTCCTTTCAACTTGTTTGCGTGGGGCCCCTCCTTTCAATTTGAGTCAACTATCCCCCAACAAGAGTTTGTATTTTTTACCGATGGCACATCCACTGGAGGCCGACTAAGTCGTGCTATTTTCTACGGCACTTCCCCAGGGAAAACGCAACCCGGAAACCGGGGAAGTCCACACGTCCTTTTGTAGGTCCCCAACCCGCCCGCCGTCTGAGGCCGGGAAACGCGGCAGAAGGTGGCCGGGGGCTTTGATGGGCGGCTCGACGTTGTGTGGTCGTGTGGTTAACCAAACCATGGCTTGCATGTGGAGTCGGCAAGCTGACTCGACTTTTTGGTGTTAGGTTTCAAACGACCTTTGTTTTAGCTGTGACTTTTGCGAGCTTCAAGCTGTGGGCTCTTTGCCCAGATTCCAGGGTGTTAAAGGGAGCGGCTTTGGACTAGGCTTCCAGAATGGTTTCGGGGGTTGCTGGGGATGCCACCTGAGCTTATTTGCTGCAAACCACATGTGGTCTCTCTCGGGGAGCAAGTCAGATGGAATTGCTTCGTTGGGCTTGGGGTTTTCTTCTCCTGGTTGCATCTTTCTGGGTTGCGCCTATGGGGGGAGGCATTTGGTGTTGTCCTAAACAAAGTCTCTGGTCCACGTTGCCATGGAACCCACCAACTTAACTTGGTCCCTTTTCAAGGCAGATACACAGTCTTCCAGGACCGCCCCCTATCAGGTTTGTTGTTTGTGGACGGGAGGGTATCTTTACAGTCGAGTGAAAGTAGATGGCACATGTCCTCCATTTTGGTTTAGTCATCCTCTGGAGGCCACATAAAGCGACTTGTGCCGTCCACTTTCACTCTGGTGTACTGTTGACTTCGTATTCCTCTGCTGGTCAGAGGAAACCCTAAGATAGATCATGTCCTTACTAGAAGGGGACCCCCTGATCAGTATGATCCTCCGGAGTAATCCCAGTTTAACATTACAGATTTGCCACTTTCCGAAACTTGTGCTAAGGATTTTGAAGCAACACGGGTTCGTTGTCAAATTATCCTCTTTTGGGACGTGACTCAGGAAATGTCAGCCGTACCAGCTGAAAACCGAACAATTTCCCAGGCCCATTAGTTCAGTTGTTTTTCTTTCAATCAGCACATGGTTCCAGAGAAACCCCCTAGCAGAGAGTTTTGGGGACTCAGACATGGAGGTGACAAGACCCCTTTTGCCAGACTACCTCCATATTCACTCGCGCGCATGCCATTTTGGGAGCAAAGCAAACCATTTTGGTCAGTTAAAAGTTTGGGCCGAGGCGACTCGGTTTTGAATGTGGCATGGGTTGGATGCTTGTCCATAGACCAATCAAGTACCTTGCAGTTGGAGTCTTGGGGGGGTTTGTGGGGTCGGTGGTCGTCGAGGTGTTCTTTGGGTTCGATGTTCATCGGAGGGAGCAAAAGGCAAACGGAGAGCCACGAGGAAGGGCTGAGAGGTCCTGTTTTGACACCACGAAACCCTTTTGAGGGCACATTCTTCAATTTGCCCATCAGAAATTCTGTGCGTTTACTATTTGTATGCGCAGTTTTTTCAAAGCACGACTTCTTCAGGCCTTACTGGGGGTGGATGCTGCCCAGGCTTTGGCATGCCAGCTCAACCTGTGCCAGTGCCTGTCGGGGGGCCAATTGACATGACTGGTCTGACCGGTGTGACCTTAGCCCCGACCTTTTGCGCCCCAAAAGGAAACCATGCTTTTGTGAAAACAAATGGGATTTCCATGAAACCTGAAAGAGGTTAGACCTTTTGCTAAGGGGTCTTGGAGCAACCCAGATAGTCATAGGTAGTGACGTGAGGATGCCGCACCTCGATCAATGGGTCACCTTCGCCCAGTAGCCACTCTAAACGTCAGGTCAGGTTCGGAGCGCGGCTCTTCCAAGTGCCTTGGTTGAGGGACCTATTGGGTGATGGTCGGGTTCCACCAAGCCAAACTATGCGCCCCCTTCTTATGGTGTCAAAGGGAAGCGAAGGTAAAACGTAAACCCATCATGCAAGAGATCATGCACCATCATGACCCAGAAGGAAGTCCCCAACATTTTCGGGGCCGCTTACTGGTCGACAGCATCTTTTGGGACAACTTACTGTTCATGGACAAAAGAAGCCTTACTTCGCACCTGTTGGCTGGCGGTGAATATGTTAGGTGTATCCTAGTGTTCATTGGGTTTCATCCCAACTGGTGCGGTTTTGTGGATGTTGCAATGTGTCAACTCGTGCGGAGAACCGAAGCAGACCTTTTTATTTTTGAGACCAATTGTTTTGGGCTCGCCAGTCTTCAATAGGGCGAGATGGTACGGTAGAAGGGACCCCCCCTTTCAGGGGAATTATTTGATATATTGCAGGCCGATTCTCCTAGTGTTCCTGGAGGACAGTCCCATCCATGGAACGTGACAGATCTAGGTCAATCATGGACCAAGCCAGCCAAAAGAAGATGGGTTTCACGGGTTTCAATTTGGTTCTGTACCCACATTGGGGATGTCAAAGTAGGGGGTTCGGACTCCCAATTTTCCGGGTGGATCCCTCACAACCTCGAAGCTCAAAACAACACGACACCATTGGCCATTCTGTGTCACTTCCCTTCATGGCTCCGTTCATGGAAACCCATATGGTTGTTCAAGACCATCCCTTGAAAGCCGAAGGGTGTGTTGACGACACAGATGTCCCTTGTTTGGCATGGAGTTAAAGGGACAGCTCCCCCGAATCCATGGGGTATGGGCCAGACTAGAGGGTCCCGGAGTTTTGTTTGGTAACTCGAAACCAACCTGACATCAGGTGCTTCTTAATTGCTGGAACCCTTGGTTCCTATAGAGGGTAAAAGGCGGACCCCCCCCCCTCCCCACCTCCAATCCACGAATCCAAGCCACCTACCAGATGCCCTCGACTGAAGAGGCTGAAGCTGGAAGAATATCTGGCGGCAGTGCGGCGGCCTCAGTTTCCGCGCTAAAGCAGATGAAACGCTGTCAAAAGACAGGGGCGTGTCTCTTTTTTTAAGGTTGGACCCCCCCCAAATATATATACATATATATATATATACACACACATATGTTTCGAAATAATAATAAAAAACAAAACAATAAATTGCGTTCTTTTTGTGGGAACCCCGGATAAAAGGGGAAGGGGGGGGGGTTCCTCTCAAACGGGATCCCCCAATCAAAATCAACCCAGGGGGCAGAAATCCGTAGGTTCCCATTCAATGTAAGTGAGGTTGCGAGGGCCTAAAGCAATACCATTCAGCTTTTGAGGCACTTCAAAGCCAAGGAGCAGAATCTTGATGTAGTTATCATATTCTGGTTTCCCAAAATAAGACAAACTTAGTTTGGCGGCCGGCGTGGTCGGGTCCCTGAATGGTGGAAGCCAGACACGAAGACGTATTTGTTCCTTCCGGAACCTCACGTGGGGAGTGCTTTTGCATTGAACGACACGGTTTTGCGTCATACATATATATATATATATATATATATGCACACATGGTTTTACATATATATATATATATGACACTATATATATATATATTATAGTAACTTTATATGTACATATATATATATATATATACATTCCGGTGAAGGGGGGGGGAAGTGGCCCTGACTGGACCTGCATATGGCGCTTGGGTGTGAGTCTCCAGGCAGTCTGCCTCAGCGGCGCTGGAGCTGGACGGGGCCAACTCCAAGGCACCCGTCGCCATCGCCAGTTTATGAGGTGTACCTGGTTCCACGATTCTCTGGCAACCTTGTTTCGTCTACCTTGAATACATGTCAGCTATTTTGCAGGAGACCCCAGTTATCAGGTATTTGGAGGTGATGCGGTTCCTACCTGGTTTTGTTAAGATTCTACCTGGTTCCCACCTCATGTTTAGTCCACGTCAAATGCACGTCAGGTATTTTTGCAGGAGACTCCAGTCAGGATAAGGTATTTTGGACTTGATGCTGTTCCTATGTGGATTATTGAAGATTCTGGGTGGGTTGCAACCCCCTGTTTCGTAGCAGACTCCCATCAGGTAGCCCTGAATTTGTGGTTTGGATTGGTGGACTGGATTTGGATTTGAACCCCGGATTCTGGTAGAAGGTACATGGGAAAACCCAACCGAGCCAACCAACCACCAATTAAAGGGAAGCTGATTTTAGTAGGTGGTTCCGTTCCTACCTGGTTATATATGGGTTAAAGTAAGGCCTATATGGCCATGCTTTTAATCGTGAACCACCTCAAGAGTGGTTGGTCGCATGAATATAGGTGTTCTTTTTGGTTGTTTTGGTGGTTTAATCATTTGCCAGGGCCATCTATTTCCCCCACCAAAGGGTCCAGGACCCGTTGAGATTCATGCCCAGATACACCTTCATAGCCTAGGACAAGCAGTTGCGCCGCCTTGAAAGCAGCTACAGCGAGTAGTTTTAACGTTGCGGCGAAGGAATTCCTCTACCGTCATGGCGAATTACTTGCTTTACCGTCACGGGAAATTACTTCCTTTACCGGGACGGCGAATGGTACCTGCAACGAGAGTTTGTGCTTTTTTTTATCCGAGAGCAAAAAAGGTAAGTCATTGCGCGGTGACGTGGCGAATTCATCAGGGCCTTCTTGGCTGAAGCCGATTTGGTGACCTGCAACAAGAGTTTGTGTGCGATGTTGTTTTGGGTCAACCTGTTGTGCTTGGAGGCTTGTGTTGATCACGGAGATCCCCCGGCACATGTGGCTCAGAAGCTTTGCTCATAGCTTTCGAGCCCCGTTTCGGGTTTTCTTTTCTCTCTTTGCACCACGTGCCTTGGATGTTGACCTTCTTTGGCTGGTTTGTCCACAGCGTTGCCTGCTTGCAATACTTCGGATGGTGAGGACTCCGGAGGTTCGATGACTACTTTTACCACCTCCACTTGCAGCAAGGCCAAGAAGTCGGCCAAGAGGGGCCCCAAGAGGACGGCCCAACGTGCTCGCCACCAGTTGACGGACCTTGATGATGCTCAGGCCATTGCCCAGTTGGAGGAGGTTTACAAGATGCAGCGTTCTGCCAACGAGCTGAACCTGTCCACGGTTCAGGGGAAGGTGGATATGATGAAGATCATGTTCGAGGAGATCATCGTAGAACCCCCTCCCCACTTTGGTGAGACGCGCCCTGCAGGTGCCTTTATATAGTGACTCTATGCTGGTTGTATGCGCGTTTTCTTTTGGGGGGGGGGTAGTGGTTTGAGGCTGAGTAGAAACTGTTTTACAGAGCAGGATCCTTTGTTAACTTCATGAGTTTTATCTTGACTCCAGATACGACAGGGTTCTAGCTCGATTTGGGTTGGTCTCAAAATAATTTGGACCTCCAAAATGGCTGGTTTCCTTTTGGTTTGCCACCTTTCGGACAATGCATCGATTTCAACGCCCGCATCGACGGCCGCAAAACCAAAGGAGCCTTGGGGCCTGTTTTGCGGAGCCTTCCGCCAGACCAAACCAAGCCAAGCCAAACCAAACCAACGGAAACCAACGGACACCAAACCAACAGACACCAAGCCACCTGTTGGCCACCAAGCCAACGGAGCCTTCCGGACGGGCGGCAGGCGCTGTACCGCCGGGGCCTGGCGCAGCTCGGCGCCGGCGAGGCGAAGTTGGCGAGGAGCGACTTGGCGGCCGCGGCGCGGCTGGAGCCCAGGCGACGGCTGCCTCCCCGCGCGGTGGGGTGGCGGATGGGGCGGTGGGGCGGTGGGGCGAGTGGAGCGCAAAAGGTGGTGGATGGAATGGGGGGGGGCGTGTGAAAACAGTCGAATGGCAATGGGTGAAAAGGTAGAAGATGAGGTAGAAGTTGGTGTGGATCAGTGCCATTTTGTGGGTATGATGGGGCTGTACAAGCGAAGAGGAAAATCTGGTTGGGGTGCTCTTGAAATGATTTCGTCATGATTGTTTTCCTCTGGGCACGGTTGCCTCTTGGACGTAGCTCCAATCTCGTGCCCCCAAAAATATTCCTTTGAGTGAGCGCCAGGAACGCGGAGATCCGGCGGAGCTTGGAGTCGCACGGCGCTTAATCCCAAAAAATAGGGCTTGCGCCTGGAAATTGGGTTTGCGTCGACATAGTGACACCCAACATGGCGATTTTGCAGGGGTCGCTGCAGTTTCCCCTTCAAAAGTTGCAATGTACTGGTGGTTGCCACTCAAACTATCGCCGCTTTTGGAGGTTCCCAAAAGGGAAATGGCTCGGACACCCGTGCGTTTGGGTTTCCCTTGAAGCCCGCCTGATTTTGGCTAGGTTCCAAAAAACAACTTAAAGGCGCCGGCCTACCGACCCGGCTACTCAGGTGCTCGACTAGCTCCGCCCTTTGAGTCGCCTCTTTGAGGTCGCCCCATTTTTGACATATGGTTGATCAAACGGTCCTTGATACATGGCATGACCAGCAGGGAAACCGCAAGAAGATACGATGTTTCAACCACTAAAATAGGACAGGTGTTACCGATGGCCAGGAATATTGGTCAGCCCCCCACATATGTCAATGAGGATGTAACACCAGGTTTCGGCTTTCGGCTTAACAAAAAAGCGCTCGCATTTTGCGGCTCGGATCCGTCTGGCCCCTTCAAATCAGGCGAGCAAAGAGCTGGAGCCGGTTTTCTGGGCGGTGCAAACTGAATCCGCCTGTTGGGCTTCTCCGTGATTCTCTTCCCAGGGGGGACCCCCCTCGGACTGTAATCTTGAGAACTCTTTGAAATCTTTCACCATTTTTGTTTTTCTTTCAGGTACCCAGTTTTAGTTTCACAGCCAAGCTTTCAACGGTCACTTCCCTTTTCAGCACCCAGACTTCCAACCCCAAGAGGCGTTTGTCTCAAAGTGAAGCTGGCTTCCCTCTGATTTTTCCTTTAAACCAACCCACAATGGTCCAAAGGGTAGTTTCAAAGCCGCGACACGCAGGCACTCGTCTTTGATCTCTTGCGGCCGATTCCGCGCCTTTTGGCCTGGTCTTGGATTGGGCTTGAGGTGCCAACAGCGGCTGGCCGGCGAGAAGACGGCCACCAAGGAGGTTGCGAGTGGTTTGGTGCCGGGGACAGTGGTGGGGGCTTGCATGTTCACGTTTCGGGCCCATTTGTTGGTTGGCTTTGTAAGGGAAACACATTGGAAACAGCCAAGGGGTGGGGGGGGTGGGGGGATGGGGGGGGGGGGGTTGGCATGGAATCTGACGTGAACTGGGTTTGCAGCTTCACCATTGAAGCTTCCTTTCATAAAAAAACGTCCTGAGTTTCATGAATTCCGAGAATTCACCCCCTACATGGTGTGTTGACTTCAGAATGCTGTAGTCCGGAGGACCGTGGGACCCAACCAATTGCACCAGGTAGGTTATTTAAGGGGAAGTGGGGGCAGGAAGAGTTGGTTGCGCTGGGCTTTTTTCGAAGGCGCCCTTGTTGGGGACACTAGACTTTTTTTTTCTTTTTCTGACACATGAGCTCAATGAAAACCCAAGGGACAATCCCAACCATAAATAGCTGCGGGAATCCGCCTTCTTAATTCCTTGCATGGTTCTGGGATTACGACCATTTTAGCCCCGGGTTTTGAGCAAGTGACTCACATGATGTCCATTGGACCCACAAGCCTTCGAAGGAAACCCGGCCGGAAGCCACGGGCTTATCCCCAAGCCGTGAAGGAAGGCCCAAGCCCCGCGAGACGAGGGACTCACATGGCTGTGTCTTTGCTTGGGGGTCTCCGATGGTTGATGGTTGATGGGGACACCGGAAGGACACGAATGGGGTTAGCATGTTCAGACCCGCCCAGATCGTGACTATCCAGTCCCGTGAAAACCGGGGGGAGGAACTAATTTTCCCATGTCACTTACAGCCACATGATTTGACCATTGCTCGTACATAGTTTGTGTCTCGAAACAGGGTGTAACCTCCAAATAGTAGTTTTAGCCTTTAAAACTATCCCAGGAATGGCGCCCCCGTCAAAGTTCTCTTGCTGTGGCGCTGTGATGTTGATGGTGCTGGTGATGCTGGTGCTGGTGATATGAAGTTGCTGGTGCTGGCAATACTGCTGGTGCTGATGATGCTGGTTGTTCTGGCGTTGCTACTGCTTGCCGGTGCTGTTGGCGCTGGTGGTCCTCATTTGATGGATCCGAAACACTTCGAGCTTCCTTGAACCTCTAAAGAGCGATCAATGCGTTGCTCGTTCGGCTGCCGTTCCTTGTTACGCGCGCGCGCAACTGTGTGTTGTCTTGTGTTGTGTTGCGTTGCGTTGCGTTGTGTGTGTGTGTTGTGTGTGTGTGTTGTGTGTTGTGTGTTGTGTGTTGTGTGTTGTGTGTGTGTGTGTGTGCGTGTTCTGAGGGTGCCCTTTCAGTGGCTATAAAGGAATCCAAAGAACAACACATCATTTGTGAGACACACTCATGTGTCCCCTTTAGAATGAACATGGGCCTAAAGCCTGATGTTTCAATCTCGCAAACAAGGGCAGAGATGGACCGCTGGGAAGCCAACTTTGGGAGTCAAGATCTGTGGCTGTTTTGAAACGGAGGCAGAAAGGAAGCCTGTGACAAAGCAGAGCATTGGGTTTTGCGACTGGAAAGCCGCCCATGCATTGAGCTCTGAGTTGCGCACTGGCCTCACTCAAACTGGACTGACACGCGCCTCCCTGAGCGCGCGCAGTCGGAGCCACCGCAACAGTCGGATGACGGGCGATAGTTGCCTATGGGGCAGGTGTCACAGATTTTGTGTTATTTCCCACAACCGTGAACTTCCAAAACTGGCAGCGCCATGAACATACTTAGTCAAGACTGCAAAAGGCTAACGCCCACCAGGAAGGGGCAAGACCAACGTTGCTTGATCTACTGAGAAGGATCTGAGTGAGACAAAGCCTATTTCGGGGTGACTCTCTGAGCACCCGAAAAGGCTACCCTCATATTTCCAGGTCCTGGCAAAAAAGTTTTAAGATGGCCTGGTTTACTTTGCACCAGGCGCTCGGCGGCTTCCTGTCGCGGTGAGCTCGCGCGAGTTTGCCGCGAGTCAGGCTGAGGCAGGCTTTCTGGCTCTGGATCCGTAAAGGAAGGCCGAACTATTCAGGTGCTTTTTCCTCAGAGAGCTGAAAGCTGTAGGGGTTCTAACTTCTAAAGATGGGAAAGTGTTTTGCGAGATTGGGCTGGTGCTAGGGTGCGTGCAGTTTGGGATGCTAGTGTAGGTGCTGTTTCGGGTGCGTTTTATTTCTTTCAGGTTCGGTTTCTGGTGGTCATTCTTGAGATGGCTCAAACACCGGCAGCCTCCGTGATCAGCGCTCGACCAAGTTTTTTTTTTTTTGCACGCATACTGTGGATGGACAAAATCCTGCACCACCTCAGAAACCATGACAAACAATTGTTTGTCGGTATTTACAGGGGAAGAATAATTTTAGGTTGCTTCAGGTGGTGGAGGATTTCGTCCATCCACAGTATCATTCCCTTCGAGCCGGTACGGGGTTCATGGAGTGGGCGCCAAAAGCTGTCGAAACGCATCCGATCTTGCGATGCTCATGCGACCATGGGATGCTTCTTGGTGAACTAAAGCGGCGTAACCGGGGGGTTGCGGCGTCAATGTCAACCACCATGATGGTTTCTTTCATAGGGAGCCTTGATTTCCTGTTGGTGAATTTCATTCAGTAATTTGCCCGGATGTTTGGGAACGCGATGTTTGCACAGGGCACTTGATATGTTGCATCAGGCCGAGCAAGTAGAAACAATGAGTCTGGGCAATGCCCTTGGCGTTGAACAACTTCCCCAAAACCACAGGGGTAGCACATTGGTCACGGGTTTCCTTGGGTTCCCTTGTAAGGTTTGCCATTCAAAGCTGCAGGCGCCGTTTGAGCTGCAGCAGCTGGGGGCGCGCGCAGAGGCCGCGGAGAAAAGACGTGGCAACGCCGTTATGTTCACAGAGATACAACTCCTTGTGTTGCCATTCTTCTTTGGGGGCTGCAACCACATCACCAGTTTGCGGATGTTAAGGGAGTCTCTCTTTGCCGATGTTGCGGTTGTGTACATAGTGAACCTCTGATATATTCAACCATTGCAGTTTTGAAGAGCATCAATGAATCAATGAGTGACATCTGATATCTTTGCGACTAAAATGATGGCGGTAGGACATAGGTTGGCAGGCTTGCTCCTGGCCTCACGATGACCAAACACCACATGGATAAAGAGGTTTGTTTGGTACGTCTTTTTTCTTCTTCTCCGACTTGGGGTCGAATTTCGATCCTGCCAGGGTCTTCGGAGAAGCTCTTGGGCTGGGAATTGACCCCAATTTTGTTAACCACTTATACCTATGCTGTGTGCTAAGAAAGACCATGACCTGCTGTTGTTCCAAAAGGAACCCAAATCTTCAACTCCTAGAAACCCAACAGGGATCCTAGCGTTTTGGGGATTGGAAAGGGTCCACCTCAAAGTGTAGAAATTCGAATGGGACTGAAGGAGAACCTCCCGAGACCAAGAACAGTCAGTCTCTTGCTGACCTACTCCTGCAAAACCCGAAACTCAAAAGGGGGTCCCCCAGAAATCAGATTCCACTGTTGCCCCGCGCCTCGACTAGCGAACCTGCACAAAAAAAATCCCGCGTCGCCCCTGCGGGAAGCTTCCCGCAGTTCGCGCGGCCAAAACCCAAGCAAGGGCATGTCACTTCACAGGGCCCCGGAAATCCAGTTAAAGAACCACTTAACAAGTTACACGAGCTGATTCAGAGGATTGCCTTCCAATCCTTCAAGGAACCCGTCTGCACTTCAATGGCTACTTTCTCATGTACGTCTTCATGTGCTTCACTTCTATTTAGTTTCATTTAGTTACATTTGGCTCAATTTAGTTCCGTTTAGCCTTACGCCATGCGATTCAAGTTCGTTGATCTTGCGTCCGGGGCAAGGAGCAGACAGTACGTTGCCGACATTCTGGGTTGGGAAGCTCAGTAAGGAGTCCTGCGTTTCTGTAATAGTTCTTCTGTTTCAACAGATGGCGAATGGTCAACAGGTAAACCTTGCTAGGACTCGGCTGGTGTCAGAATGGGTGAAGTTTGTCTCACTCGAACTTTACATCTCTCTCGGCTCAAGTCCTTTGGACTGGCCGCTTGCGGGCAGCGAGCGGCTGGCTAGAATGAAGCGGTGGGGTTGGGCCCTTTGGCTGGCGAGCGCGCTGAGCGCGCTGAGCCTCTGGCCGGTAGATGCTTGGCTGCGCTGAAATTCCGCATCCGATCTCCCGCCAAGATCGCCCCAAGGCCCCCGTCGGAGGCGGCAAGTTTTGGGCCCCCGGACCCCCTTTTGCTTTTTTTTGGGTGTGACGGAGCGAACGAGCGAATGGATCGGGGCGGGTCCAGTTGGGGCGATTCGCAATCCTTCCAAACTTGGCTGGGAAACATTCTCCCCCCCCAACCCCCCAAACCGCCTGTGTGCAGTGGCTTTAGTGGTTCGCTCTGGCGTAGGATAAGGATTGGCCAATCTCCAGGTTGCACAGCTCATGAGGATTGATGAATCCTAAGGACCATGCTGGTCAGAGGAACTGCCCTGAATCATGCGATCCCCCAAAAAGGGAAACCACCCCTGATTAGTACGGTCCTCTGGATTCATCCGAGGTTCACATCAACCTTTGTACCTGTTGGTGAATCTTAGTTGTGCAAGGTTGCGACCTCTTTCCAAGTTTGGTAACCTAAGGGAAGGATACAAAAATAGTGGACTCATAAGTACCGACTTTCCAAGTTTGCCACCGCCAGTCATGTTCCAAGTTTGGCCCCAAGAATTGATCGCCTTTGTTGCAAGCATCGCCTGGCGAGCGAGCGAGTCACCGCGGCCAGAAAGCTTGTGCACTCAGCACCGACGGACTCTCGTTACCCAGCCCTGAGTTCCTGGACTTCATACTTTTTTGGAAGACCGTTTTTGTCTTTTTTTCTTCTGCGTGGTAGGCCAATGGTGTTTGACCTTTTTTGGGCCATCCACTCAGGTTTAGTGAGATGTGCGTTGGTTTCCCATGTTTGCAGAGGGTTCTGGTTGGAATCTATTGGCGCCATCAGACTTGCTCTTGACAACAGTCCATACTGTTCCCTTTTGCAACCAACCATCTGGCTGCTCAAAGAACGGAATTCCAACAACTTTGGCACCTTGGAATATGGGAACAACGATTAAAGCCGGTTTGCCCTGGATGTTTAATTTTGAGCCACGTGTGGCAAGCCCCAAAATCCCGAAACTCCTCAATTTGGAGCGGCTACAAAATCCAAAGCAAAAACACAAGTTGGGATGGGAAGCGTTTCTTGATTCCATCCATGGAAGCAAGCTCAGAGCAACCGGAGGGAGGTGCCAACCATAAGGAGCCACACCCAAAGGCGACGGGATTTCTGAATCAGCCGAACGGGGCCGAGTGAAGCGAGCAACTCGAGCATCCGAGGATGGCGCGCAGACCGGGACGGCGGTGCAAAAAGTGCTGCAGATGTTGGAAGAGATGAAGGTGAAGGGAGCAGCCGCTATGGCAGAGGAGGAGCCGGTTTCCAAGCAGCGCAGTTTCCCTCAGGGCGAATTCCTTGTGATTCAAGCACCCCAAAATGATTGTCCGGACGACCCCCTTTTGGGATGTTGTACTAAAACCTCCACTCTCAACTTCTAGTGAGGGTAGCAGGGGTTAGTTTCATTAGCACCTCAGGCATGCCCTGCTCCATTGGTTTGAACACCTAGGTTGGGTGAACCTCAAAGTTTTGGAGAGGGTTCCTAGAGGTCTTCACGAGTGCCGCTAGAATCAAAAAGCTACATTGCTCCTTTTGTATTAGACATCCATTCGGGTGGCTTTTTTTGTGACGGTCCCCCTTTGGTGCTTTTTAACGGACACCAAGAGGAAAACCGCCATTATGGAGGGTCCAACCTCAAGAAAGACGAGCCCCTTCGGATTTTGTGCCCCCCGCAAAAATGAAGGATCCTTGCTGGCTCCCAGCCATCCCCTTGGCTTTACAGTTTTTTAGTGGGGATTTTCATTTCACCCACTAAAAGTTAGTCACTTTTGGCGGGGATCAGAAAACGGACAGCCCAGGATCCATCGAAACTCCACCGCGAGGTGACTGCTGCTGGGTTGGATCTTTAGACTTTAACTTTTTGGGAAATCAAGGGGTTTTCCACTAAACCCCCAAAAAGTTAAACTTTTGCAGGGGCGTCAACAGCAACCAAGAAAGGATCCATCCAAAATCCACCGTGAGGAGGGCCAGCACAAGGAGTACCAGGCCTTCTGCGCCTCGACGCTCGCGGAGAAGCGCAAGGCCGTGAGCGACGGCGCGGACCGCGCGCAGCGCCTGCGCGCGGAGATCGGGAAGTTCGAGGCCTGGGGATCTGGGTGGGGCGGTGCCGAGGTGAAAAAGAAGGGCCTCTGGGAGGTGTCTGTGGGATCTGACAATTTTTTTGAGGTGTGTGTGGAAGTTTCCGGGATCTGCTTTTGTGGTCCATTTAAGGGGGTGATTTGTTTTGGGAACCCCCTTAAAGTGCTTTTTTTTGGGGAAGCACCTGTTGGAGGTGGGGGAGGAAATCTGCTTTCCTCCCAGTTTTCCCCAAGTTTTCCCAAAAGACCAGAGCTTCTGGCCTTGTGAAGGCTGAAAGGAGTGACACTTTGCACTCGGGGTTGGAGGGTTGGATCCCATGGATGTTCAAGCACAGGCTGTAACACGGATATAAATCAAACCCATGGTTTTCCAGCTACCATGTCAATGTTTGTTAAAACCCATTTTCATGTTAACCCATTTATTTTCAATCGTAACCCATTTGTGAAGACCATTTAGATTGACACGGTCTTAACAATGTCTACCCAAATTGTTCTGTCACAAGATGCTCACTCCTCCTTGAGCAGCTTCTATCAGGTTCCATGCCTTGCGAACACGTGTGGATGACTCTCCGAAATGGATGCCCTCAAAACCACAACAGTTGAGCAGGACAATTGACGGACGGCTTCCTTTTGGTTTGCCTTGCTGAATAAGCAATACCGTGGCTTCGGTCTCCTTTTGTTCCCTAACGGCCCAATGGGTGGTTTGAATCCTGAAATGGGGGACTTTTCTTTGATCCCTCTAAGAGTGACTAATGTATGTAGCTTTTTTTGGGGACCCCACTTTTCGTTAGTTTTAGAAGGGACACCAACAGGAAAACCACCATTTTTGAGGAGTCCCCTAAAGCAGACAGACCCACATGGGAATTGATTGAACAAGGATTTTGCTAAGAGGGTGTTTGCCGACAAGTGGCGACACAAGCAGACTAAAAGCGCCCCTTTCAGGGGGCAACAAGAAGGATTAGGGTTGTGATGGCTTCCACACAAACATCGAGGCAGTCCCAGTATGGTTTGTTCCCCACTGTACCTTTAAGCGAAGTCTTGTCATTGTAAAGGCGTTCCTCTTGGTTTTGTTGGTTTTCCAAGTCTTTCAGGTACCTCTTAGTTGGCGGTTTGGATTGATGCTTTGGATTGGTGGTTTGGGGATTTGAACCACCAAACCACCAGGCTCCAAACCACTAAATAGACTTAATCTGAGTTTTGGCCTTACATCGGCGATTTCCTTGTGCCGAGGCCTCCATTAGCACTCTCGGCAGTGAGCTGGAGGTGCATGACAAGGACCGTCCGAGAACGTGCTGAATCCATATGGGCGGGTTTTTTAAGGGGCCCCCGCCAAAGAAAAATAAGCTCAGGTGATATCTCCAACAGCATGCGGTGCTCTTTTTCACCCCGCAGCCCTCGCAGAACCTGGTGGAATCCTCGTGGAACCCTGGTGGAACCCTGGTGGAACTGTCGTGGAACCTTACCCGGACCACCCCGAGCCTATCTGGGCTGAGACCCCAAAGCTTTAAGCTGTGGGGAAAAGCACAAACAAGCAAACAAACAAACAAACAAACAAACAAATAAGCTCAGGCGATATGCCCAACAGCCCCACACCCTCCCAGAATCCTCGCGCAACGCCCCGCGACCGGTTTTGCTGAGGATGCCGTGTTGTAACTTTGTAAAGCAAAGCTAAGAGTGACAGCGCAATCGCGCCCTGATCGGGGGCCGACGGCGCAATCGGGGCCCGATCGGGGCCCCCTGATCGGGGCCCGACGGTGCAATCGGGGCCCGATCGGGGCCCGACGGCGCTGGTCCCGTGGTGCAAGCGGGCTCCCACCAACCCCAGCCACATATTATAGCTCAACGCCGGTTTTTTGTATCCAGCAAAACTAGGCCATGCCAGCTTGGTACAGTTGACGCGACCCGACTGAGTCCGGCCCCGATCGGGGCCCGACAGCGCAATCGGGCCCGATGGGGCCCCGACGGTGCAATCGGGCCCCGACGGCGCATCGCCCGACCTGTGCCCGGTGAACCTCGCAAACCGTCCTCGTTGAACCCTCGTGGAACTCAGCGTGAAAGTTTGTTGGAACCTTTCCTCAGGGCTGCCCCATAGCTTTTGCAGAACCTGGTGGAAACCTCGTGGAGCATTTTTGGAACCCAAAGCCCAAGTAATACTCAGTAATGCCAAGCATTTACTCTGCTGCACAGTGAGAGTCCCGCAGCAACGTGATCTGATTTGCAACAAAGCCAACATTTCGGGCCGCATTGCCTGAAGAAGTGAGCAAGTCACAAAACATTGAAAGCGTGCTGAGAACCATGAACTTCGGTTTTGCTTAGTGTTCCGCCCGTGAGCAAGGCGATCTTCTGAGCAGACGACGGGCGCACGACACATTGTTTTTCTTTAGGGCAAACCATGGAACCTTGCGGAACCTTTGTAGAACCTTTTGGAGCCTTGTGGAACCCTTGTGGAATCCTCGCGGAACTCTGTGGAACCCTTTGAAACCTTACCTCGCCCCGGACCATCCCACACCCCTCGCAGAACCTCGACCACCCCGCAGCCCTTGCAGAACCTGGTGCAACAATGGTGGAACCCTGGTCGAACTTTGGCGGAGCTTTTGTGGAACCTTCTCAAACCACCCCGGACCACCCCGCAGCCCTCGCAGAACCTGGTGGAACACTGGTGGATTGAACATGGTGGAACCATGTGGGTGGAACCTGACCTCAAACCACCCCGGACCCCCCGCAGCCCTGGCAGAACCTGGTGGAACCCTGGTCCGCAGCCCTCGCAGAACCTGGTGGAACGCTGGTGGAACCCTCGTGGAGCCTTACCTCAAACCACCCCAGACCATCCCGCAGCCCTTGCAGAATCTGGTGGAACCTCACCTCGAACCACCCCGGACCGGTCAAACCTCCCCGGACCACCCCGCTGCCCTCGTAGAACCTGGTGGAACCCTGGTGGAACCCTCGTGGAACCTTACCTCAAACCACCCCGGACCACCCCGCAGCCCTCGCAGAACCTGGTGGGACTCTGGTGGAACCCTCGTGGAACCCTGGTGGAACCCTCGCGGAACCTTACCTCAGGGCCGCCCCGGACCACCCCGGACCCTATCTGGGCTGAGACCCCAAAGCTTTCAGCTGTTGGGGAACAAACAAACAAGCAAGCAAGCAAGCAGGCAAACAAACAAACAAACGACCAAACAAACAAACAAACAAACAAAGAAACAAACAAACAAACAAACAAACAAACAAACAAACAAACAAACAAACAAACAAACAAACAAAAGAAACAACAAACAATCACATAATATTAACAACATGAAATACAATGTCGGTTTTGCCATTGGTTTTCCTTGAAGCCAACCCCAAAAAGGGTAGCCTGAACAAAAAGACACACCCGTATTCGCCAGACGGACGAATGAGGAAATGATCCATTTGAGGGGTTCCTCTGAGAAGTTCACGTGACTGCCCGACTTCACATCTACTTTTGGGGAGTTCCCTTTTCTCCCCAAGAAAAAACAAGAAGGAACACGTGTCTAACTAACCTAAAGGTTTGAGGGGTTCCTCTGAGAAGTTCACGTGACTGCCCGACCAGATCCCATTTAGCCCCCAAGAGTTGGTGGGGTGGGGATGGGGGGATCCTGGCGCCAACAAAGGAGATCAGCACTGCGGAGAAGGATGCTGCGGACAGCAAGGCCCTTAGGGAGCAGGACGGGGGTAGGGCTTTGTGACGGCTTTGTTTGAGGTGTCCTGAAAGAAAAAATGTTGAGGGTGACACAACATGAGATAAAGCATGAAGGTTGCATTTTCTTAATTACCCCCCTGATTTGGCCGAAGGTTTCTTGCTGGGGGAAACTCCTACTTGGTTTGTATTTGACAGGGTTTCCCCATTTCACTTCGTCGCTTGAGCCAAAAAATCACCTCCCTGGAGGAGGCTCGTTCTTTACAGCGGAAAAAATAAACAGCCAACCGCGGCTTGTGTCATTTTTGAAGCCCGGTTTTTCACTTAAGCGCGCCTTGCTTTGAGGCGACCCTGTTGTGGGGCTGTTTTTTCTGGGCTGAGCGTTTCAGACCAGTTTTCATTTGCGGCACTTTCGGCTCACGTTGGGGAGGGTTGCCTAGGAGGCTCAGGTGAATCGACCGCATTGAGCCGACCTCTTGTCACTTCTCAGGTCTCAACCATGTCCTGAACGATGGGAATACGGGTTGCCGAACGCCCCAACCATTCCCGAAGAAATAACTCAAGAATGTGGTTGGTAAATTCCGAAGGTCATTCCCATATCACCAGAACAAATAAGTTTCGGGACACCGTATCATTTCAGTGACATTGTCCCAGCTAGGACCACCCTGAGGTCTCAGTATGTCCTTTTGAGGTTATTTAGGCATCCACAATGGGTTACCCTCTTGTTTTGCGACCCGGCCGTAGCAGGTGAGAAAGAAGCGAACCGCATAGCTTCCAGGGGGGTAGCAGGTTTTACTGGGATCCAAATATATCGTTTGAACTAGCCTACCTTTTTGAAAATGACTACCCTGTGGGAAAGCTCAGCGGGGTTGATCCAAGGAGAGCGGGTTCCAATGAAAGCCTAGATTATTCTTTCAGGACGGCCCCACACCAATTAGCACAAACATGAAACTCAACAAACGCAGCAACTTCTATTTGTTGATTCCCATCGTTCTTTTCAGAACCGCGGTTTCCCTGTAGGGTTGTTGGTCCTTAACAGACCGGTCCTTCAAGAATGATTTGGGAGGCTACGGCTAGAAAACTTAGAACTTTTTGTCAGGGTCTCTCAGACCATTTCAGTCAATCGCTCTCTTCCGTTTCTTTTTGTCTCGTCAGCACAAGAGACTTTCTTGAGATCCTGAAAGGAAGAATACCATCCCAGCTTTCAGTCAAAGGTTCCTACCAGGGCTGACTGTGGGACCTGAAACATCCATCAGATCTATCAGAAACGACCCTAGGACCGCAAGGGTTGGGGTTTGTGAGTCTTCGGGGTAAATGGGTCTTTGAGGGTACCCCCTTTTGGTTGGTGTTAAAGGGAAACCGCCAGGCAAACCCGCTTTTTGGTGGGTCCAAGCGTAAAAAATATCACCCAAATAAGGCCCAAGGCCAAAACAAGGGTTAACACAAGGGCCAAAGAAGGCTCGGTCGTCCCTGAATGATCCCAGCATGGCAGGAGGAGCAGGACTTTACCGCTACGCAGAAAGAGTACGAGGAGCTGGTGTCTGGCGATTGATAGAATCTTTCAGGGATGGGTAAGATGGAAAACTCATCATCTTTTGGGCCTGAAAAGGTGATATGAGGGTCTGAACAATGACACACCACATTATTCCCCCACGAGATGATGTATGTTGTTCTTGGGTCCTGCACTTTGATTGAAAGCTGCTCCGAACCAGGCCAGGGCTTCCTTGGGAGGAAGTGATTTTGCCCGCAAAATGGTTGGTGGACATTAATCCTATATGGATAGTTTATGATCCCTATAAGGCCATTCATTCCCTGTGACACCAAGGACATCTCTTTGAAATGGCATTGGGCCGACTTTGGGATCACAGAACGGTGATTTCCCACCACGGATGGATCACGCATGCGGAGGAAATGGATGGCTCATTTGGCAGATGTATTTAACAGACCTTAAATCAATGCTGTTCCCAGAAAGCGCCTTCTACCTGGAACAATACATTGTGGCGCTTTTCAGCGGATTCGCAAAAGGAACCCTGATCCGAATTGGCAACGAGGCGTAAGGTGAGCCAATAAAACAACTCGATGAAGTTTGGCAGAGTGCGGTCCGAACCGGCACGCAGAGCTTTCCGGCCTTTTGATTCATTGAACAGAAGGGGGGTTTTGGTTAGCCTCCAAAGTCCCTGACTTGATACGGGGTCTCCTTTTGGTCTGCCTTTTAAACCAAGCAGACGAGAGCCACCAACCCAGAAAGTGTGGTTGAGGTGTGTTTGGGGTTGGTGTGTTGGGGGTGGTGTGAGAAGTCTATGTTGCACATGTCGCACTCATTGAAAGCAAGCAATCAAAAGAGCGAGTGGATTTGCTCAAGTGATGCAATCACCACTACCGTAATCCCAAATCCATATGTTGCAATCCAAAAGCACGCAAGCTAAAATCTCTGGCTTTTTACAGTTCAGAGACTTGGGAAGGCGCTGCTCAAAATCGTCACCCTATGGCTGTGGCGCTTTGGTCCGCGCCAGGTAACCCTTAGTGGGTGGTTTGGATTGGTATTTGCACCCCTGGCTGTTGTAGAAATGAGTCACAACCCAAATCCAGGGAAATGGGAGGGCAGGGGACAACCTTGGATATCCGAAATGTCAATTCCCAAGACATGGTTCTGGGCTTGGACCATTTGCATACCGGGTTTTGTTTCTGACTCACATGGCTTGGTTGTTTCTCAAAATCGGGGGTCTTCGTTCTGGATGTATTTTTTCGGGACACTACCAGGGTTTTGTTATGACTCACATGGGTTCTTTTTTCGGATGTTTTGTTTTGGGGGGGGGAAACCACGAGGAAACAAACACCCTCACCGACCCGAAGGGCTTTTGACTTCACATCGAAACGGGGAAAACGGGAAGCCCTCCGCCTCACACCGGACCGGACGAAGCCGGAGGAGTCCGTAGCGGCCATGGGCAAGGCGGTGGATCTCCTCAAGGCCCAGGCGCCGGCCTTCGGCCTTCAATCGGACTCGGTGTCGGGTGGACCCGGCCCGTTGGCTTGAGGTGAACTCCGACAAAAAGTGGACCCCCAGCAATTGGTGCCCGACCTCTCACCGTTTCAAGTTTTTGGTTGGGAGGATTCCCCGAGCAAAATAGACGTCCTGAAAAAAGTTGGGTACCATTATTCTAAGCTCTCTACTGGAGGACCTAGTCAAAGTGGACCCTCTCTTGGTTTGTTTTTAGAGGTTGACAGAAGGACACCGGCCGTTTTTCGTTGTGGCCGTTTGGGTGCAGACCTTAGCGCGGTTTGGGGGTTGGGTCAAGCAGTCGCTTCAGCATGGCCAGCTTTGGGAGCGGAGGGAGCTTTGGACCTCAACCTTTTCGGGTTTTCCGAATTGGCTGTGGGTCAAATCCCAGGAAACCCCCGGTGAACATCAACATAGGTGGTACATGGGGGTTCATCCGCCCCAAGAATGGAGGCAAAGGTTTTGACCCATGGCCAATTGGACAGACAAGCATCTAAACTTGCAGACGGGTCAACAACAACCAAGAAATCGTTGGTGTCCGGTTGGTTTCCCTTGAGAGCCAGCTGAGCCTCTCGCCCTCAACGAAGCATTGCAGAGCCCAACCTCAATGTTGAAAAATGCAGCAGGCCGTCCCCGAATTTACAAGTGAGGTCTGCGAGGGCAAAACGGGCAAACGCACTAACACAACCTCCACACACACAAAGCAGCAAAGAAGCAAAGACACAAGCAACATAATAACACACGAAAAAGCAAACAACAAAGACAAACAAAAAAACACACAAGCAAGAAAGCAAGCAAGAACGCACGCACGCATGCATGCAAGGAAGCAGCAAGCAAGCAAGCAAGCAAGCGAGCGAGTAAGCAAGCAAGCAAGCATGCACGCATGCAAGGAAGCAAGCAAGCAAGCAAGCAAGCAAGCAAGCAAGCAAGCAAGCAAGCAAGCACGCACGCACGCACGCACGCACGCACGCACGCACGCACTGACAAAGACACAAACACACAAACACACACACACACACAATCACATTAAAAACAAACACACACACACACAACCACACACAATCACGTTGAAAACACAAACACACACACACAACCACAGACACGCAACCGCACACGCACAAGCACGCAAAAGCACAAACGCATGCACGCTTACACACTTACACACACACACAATCACACAAGCACAAACACACACGCACGCACGCGCGCACACACACACAGGCGCAGAATACTCAACAACACACAATTACACACACACACACACACATCACAGACACAAACTCACACACACACACACACATGCAAACACACACACACACAAACGCACAAGCAGTCAGACACAGACACAAACACAAACACACACACACAAACATACACAAACGCACAAGCAGACAGACCCAGACACAAACACACACAGGCAAAACACACACACAACCACAAAGACAATCATAAACACAACAAACACGCACACACAAACACACTAACACACAATCACAAAGACACAGACACACACACACACACACCACACAAGTAGAAGGCCACACAAGCACGCAAACACAAACACAACCACAAACACAAACACACACACACACACACACACACTTACACAAAGGAACAGACACACAAACAGGCACACACAAACACGCACACACACATACACAAAGACACAACCGCAAACGCAAGCGCACAGACACAAACACGCGCACACACACACACACACACAAACATGCACAAAGACACAACCGCAAACACAAGCGCACAGACACAAACACGCGCACACACACACACACAAACATACACAAAGACACAACCGCAAACACAAGCGCACAGGCACAAACACGCACACACACACACAGACAAACAAACATACACACACAAACATACACAAAGACACAACTACAAACACAAGCGCGAGACACAAACACACATACACATGTAAGGCCACAAGTGGCCTTTATTGAAATCGCTACGCGATCCGCCGACGCCAGTGGACAGTCCCCTACTAATGAACTGGGGATGCTGAGGATGCTGGAAATTCAAGGGATGCAACCACACAACGTACAGGAACGGACCCAGTCTTCGCATCCATCACGCAAAATTGACCGAACACAGAAACTACCAGAGATGTCGGGAATACTGGGAATGCAGCCGGCTAGCCACAAGAAGATGCAAAAAACCAGGGTTTCGATATTTCCCAAAAGAAACCGTCAAAAACAGGTACTAGCAACCCCCTCAAATACCCTAAAAATAGACTTCCAAAAGCACGATCATGCAAGGGACGTTTCGCAGTAACTGCTCCATACAGGTGGGGAATTGCATAAAACACTCATTTTGCAAATTTCAACAGTTCCTCAAAGTATCACTGCACTTGGCCCCACCCAAGCCCCTAACAGGCCATTTCCAACATCGCTTGAAACAGCAAAAAACCGCTAGTATCTGCAAGAGAGACAAATTCATGGCAACAAGATAATCCTGATGATGCTGGGGATGCAGATCCTGCGCGTCCGGGGGAAACCTCCCCCCTAGAGACCTAGGCGAAACGCAGATTTTTAGCGCTCGAAAATCCAGGTTTTTGGACACCCCAGCACGCATGCATCCGCATACCCTCCGTTTCACTGCCTCGCACTATGAGGCGGCTGGAGTCGGATGGGACAGGGCTTCGCATGATTTATTGGGATGACAACAATCGCGCTTCATGCATGCTTCCGTGCGCAAACCGCGACTGCCCGTACGACGCCGTGTGTGGCCAGTACGTGGACCACGTGGCATCCGACGTGCGCAACAGGCCTTGCTGCAGTGGATGCTGGTGAATCACCAGCATCTTTTTCAATTGAGCAGCACAGGCTCTGGCATTCGCAGCAGTCGCATCGCATATCCGGCAAAAGTGTCACAGGTTTCTTTTTCAGCATGCCCAAAAAATAGCAGCCCCGAAAGCCTTCGGCTTTGATAAGAGATTCCGAAGGAAGACCAAGTTGCAGACTGCCATCCACACGCTCGACTGGCGTCGGCGGATTTCTTTATGGCTTGTTGAGGCCCTACTTTGCAGGGTGTTCGTGAGGCCTTTGTGTTTCCCATTGCAATCAAAGTGGAACCGGCCAAGAGGCAAAGCGCTAGAAGACCCTGCGACACTCCTACGTAGTAGAGAATACGATGCGATTTGATGAACAAGTCTTGTGGTTTGGCTAAAGCATATTCGGATTGGGGGCCGCCCTTTCGGGGGGCCCGCAACAACCGCATGAATCAGGGGGGTCGCTACATGGGTATGGGTCAAAATTAAGCCGCCAGGAAACTGCAGATGTTTCCATTTACCAGGGTTCCATTTTGGGGTTACCCTATTTTTGACCCACAGCCACATTGGGACCCCGGCTGGTCACGTAGGCCGGCGCGGGTTCGGCGCTGCCGCAGCTGGCGGCGCTGCTGGAGTCCAAGGCCGTGGCGAGGAAGGCGGCGGCGACTTCCGCGCTGCGGCGGTTCCTGGCGCCGGGCAAGGAGCTGCGTGGGGCTTTGACTATTGCATAGGCAAATGATTTTGTCCCGTAAGCATTGCGAAGGGTTCTTCCGGTAAATCGTTACTTCTGCGCAGCTCAACTGCATAGGGAAAGTAGACAGCCAAATGCATAGAGGCGTGCGTAGGGAAAGCGCAGAGTGAAATGCGTACGGCAAGTACAGAGCGAAATGCAAAGGTGCATGCATGGTGTCCCTCAAATGATACCCTCAAAGCGCACCCTTGTCCAAACAAAAATCAAAGCGCACCCTTGTCCAAGCCAAAAAGGGGTTGGCTCCCGGTAGCCCGCCGCTCCTGCGAAGGAGGTCTACGACTTCCAATCCCAAGGCATACTGGAGATGCTGGAGAAGCTGAAGGCGAAGTTCCTGGAAGAGCCGCTCAGCTTTGAGATGCCATCCTTCTCACCTTCAGACCGTGGGACGGGCTTTCCTGGTCCAGGACAAGTAGAAAAGGGTGGGGGGGTTGATACCAAGGAGCCGCCCTACATACGGAACCTTTCGGAGCCAACCCCCGACGGACCCAGTAGCTTGCAGGTGCTGAAACAAGTGCAGGTTTTCTCAAAATTCTTCCTGTATTTGGTTCCCCCTGGAACATAACACACAGGCTACACACAACACACCAAAGCCCAACAAAGCAACAAGAGCCACTTCACAGCGTGTTCATAGTTCAGGCCACTTCTTCTCAGCCATTACCCGGTCGGAACTGGGCCCCAACCTTGTAACACTGCTTACTTACCTTCTTCCTCGCAAAGAACAAGCAGCAAACAAGCAAGAAACAAACAATGCACGTCTTCTCCGGCACATTGTTTAGGTCAGGAAGTGGGCGCTGGATGCCTCGTTTCGCACTGTGTAGCATGCATGTGGATCGGCATTTAGGCACAAGCGTTCAATCATACTGTGGGTGGAAAACATGGAATGGCCGTGCTCTTGATCAGCTTGGGATTGTGGCACTTGCATTGGTGGCGGAGCCCCCAATCATGGACAATGAGCGGCAGGCACTGTTCATGGCAGGCTCGCTGTGGCGGGCGACACGATGAGCCCAGGATAATCAGGGCAGGCGACGATTTCCCGGGTCAACTACTGACTCCTCAACGAGACGCTCTAAAAAACGTCATCTCCGTAGGCTGGCCGCGGGTGATCGCGGGAATTGGCGGGGCCGCGTCTTGGACAGTCAGGAGGGTCCTGACCATGGAGTCGGAGGAGGGAAGCACTTGCAGAGCGAAGGTCGAAGTGCAAGGTGACGGTCCAGGGCATGGTGAGGGAGATCAGAGGAACAGGGGCAACAACAAGTGCCACATGGTCTAGTTTCCCGCGGGCAGATTTGAGGACGCGGGGCACGAGAGCAACATCGCGAGCGACCTTGCTGCGCAGCGCGAGGGCAACATGGACGCGCCAGAGGTGTATGCGGCGGAGCTGGCCACTGGTATGGAGGTAGAGCCGGGCTAGGTCGACCTACACAACGCGGAACATCGTAAACTGTGGCGCTGGAGGTGGAAGCGAAGAGGCCGAGATTGGTGGTCCTTGGCAACTCCGGAGAAGGGAGAAGGTGGTCTTGATAGCGTTTACACCTTCGTTGTCTACGACTCCTGCAAGGTGGACAAGAATTCTTGCGGCGTGTGTTCGATCGTCACGAGCGCAGTCCTCATTGGTCCACCAGGAGAGTGCCCAAGGATTTCGGAGTTTGTCCTTGCCGATGGAGTCGCGTGATGGATGAGGCGCAAAGCTCAATTGAGCTTGGGGACCGGCAAGCTTGTGCCTGGTATCTCGGCGCAGGTTTTGCTCTTGGCTTCTTGGTTGTCGACGAGCTTAAACATATCATGACTTGCCATCATTGTCATGTGTGTTTACGACGAACCCCAAGTGTCATCACGCGAAGCGGCGTATGAAGGTGGTGATGTCGGAGCTTCAGCGGCCTGCTGATTGGCAGGAGGCTGCTCCGTCTCTGCGTTGGCGGCGAACGTCAACGACTTTCCTGTGTCCTTGTAGCTCGGTTTCAAGGACCAGTTCCTGGAGCTTGCAATGGCATCCAGGTGTGCAGTGTTGCCCAGGAACACTGGCAGGCGGGTCCCATCGAGAGACAGAACAAGTGTGAAACTCATTTGCGAGTAGCAGGCGAGAGGCCCGCCCCAACAAAACCCTGTCAAGCTCTGTGGATGCCAGTTTGGCACAAGCGTTCAATCATACTGTGGGTGGAAAACATGGAATGGCCGTGCTCTTGATCAACTTGGGTTCGTGGCGCTTGCAGGAACCACTAACCAGCCTCAACAATGTTCCCTGTAGTTTTTCGTGAAAACATCAGCAACCAACCAGCCAACCAACCAGCCAAGCAACCAACCAAGCAAGCAAGCAAGCAAACCGCCTCAGGAAGGCTGAGCTAGAGGCCGCGGAGGAGGATAAGAAGAAGTCCCACACGCTGGTCATGGCCAGCCTCAAGCAACAGAAGGCCACTGCGCAGGAGGCGGCAGCAGCTGGCACCCGGGGGGGGGGGCTGACAAAACACTTTGGCTGGATTGAGAAACCAAAGCAACCAGCCCCCAACACCAAGATTGGGAAGCTACGGAAACCCCCCTCTGCTTGCTTTACGACAAAAAGGAAACTCTTGCCAATGGGTACCAAAATCAAGAAGTTGCCCACGGCGGCGGGGAATGCAGTTTTCTTTGTTGGGATGGAAGGAGCAGTTGTGGGGTAACGCCCTCATTCTTTATTCTTTCCAGCAATTGTTCTTTCTCAACAAATCCCAAGGGAAGAGACCGGCGTTTGAGCAGAACCATGGTTGAAGGGCCGTATGGTTGCAAAGCCTCTCTCCTCAAAGAAACATGTTGCTTGCAGAGAGGCCCTCCGTGCACAACATGTTGGTTGAAAAGATTCCGAAAAACAACAAACATGGTGGTTCCCAAACAACAAGCATGCAACCAACGGTTTAAGCTGCTCGTTCGCATGGATCTTCGAACACATGAGCCATGGTGCCAATGATGTTGAACGTCGGTGACCGCGATCCCTACTACAGTGGCGCTGGGCGTATCCAATACTGTACTGCAAGCAGCAAAGAGCCAAATCGGGTTTCGACTGCTGTGGGCTTAGCCGAGGGTGGCGAAAGCGGGATGTCCGCCACAGGTACATTGTTGCATGTCACACCACCCTGTGTCCGATTCAAGGTTTCCTTTATGTCCCCTTTAGGTCGGCTCGCGTGAAATCCTGAAATGCGCAGGCTTGGCACTGAACATTCGGATGGCGCTAGGGAAACAACAACATATTTGGTTGAGATTTGAACTTTTTTTGATATCATGATGTTTCCGACAGACCAAGAGACACTTGAGCTTCTTGCGCAGGGGAAAATGGCCACCAAGATATGCGCAGCATTGCTCACCTTTCCTGCAAGTGAGGTGACGTTTACAGGTACGTCCATGGTTCTTGCAGGTTTGACGGTGAACCTCGGGGGTTCCTTTGGCCACCAAACGTCACCAAGCGGTGGTGCTGGGATATTCGAACGCTGCTAAGTAGGTTGTTGCCATGGTTATATCTGGAGCAACCCCTGTTGTCCCACTTATAGCTATGCTTACAACCTGCTTGAGTAGTTGCTGGGATCCCATCATACCGTTATCAGGGACCCCACTCCCACCCCACCCAAAGACCCACGCAGGGCTTTCAGGGTTAGGGCTTGAATTTGTTTTATTTGCGGAAATAAGCCCAAACATGCCCTAAGGCATTCCCCTAGTATCACATTCGATTTCCAAAGCCTTCCTTTCCTGCAGCTTTGCTGAAGCCTTGGATTGTTGCTTTCAGATTTTAGTCTTGGTGGGCGCTTCCACACATTTCCCGCCTTCATCTAAAACAACCAAAATCAGACTTTGTCCGAAAGGCTTCCTTGGCGCCGAATGGGCTTGGGGAAAAAAACACGTCGGCAAAGCAGGTCGGACGGAGTTTCCCGTAGGCCAAGGAGGATAAGACGCAGTTCAAGAGCAAGGCGGCGGAGGACACGGCACTTCCGCTGTGAGCCGGCTCTTTGGGGCTAGAGGTGACGCAACAGACCCGGAGTTTGGAGAGATTCATATGGGTGCGTCTCTTTTTTGAGGGCACCCCTTTTTGGTGGGTTTAAAAGAAACCAAAAGGACAAGTGCCATTTTTGTGGTATTTTGTTTTGGGGGGGTCCTCTATTTTAAGACACACCCATATGACCCCAACAAACGGTGGTTTTCCCTTTCGGCCCCTCCAACAAAGTGGTACCCTCAAAAGAGACTGGCCCATATCCGCTAGATAAGGCGTCCGATGCCGACTTTGGAGTTTCGAGAGATTTCCGGGTCGAGTCCGAGAGGCGACCCGAGCAAACAGGGCTGCTCTTGACTCGAGCCTAAAAAATGATCGTCTCGCTTGAGTTGAGCCTTGGGTTTGGTTTGCTTTGGATTGCCTGTTCAGGGTTACTGGTTTGCTACCCTGACAAGCTCGATGTGGTCTCTTCTTATCACCGGACCCAGCTTTCCGGCGAAGCTGCAGGTTCTTTGCAAAAACAGGAAACAACAAAAAACTGGAAGAGATTGAAAAGGGGGCTTCTCTCATGTCCCTTTCTTTTGAACCTAGTATGTTCCCTTTTGTTTGGGGCAGTCTCCCAATTTGCAGTTTGGTCTGCCTGTTTGTGAGCTGCAAAACGTGCCCAAATGTTTGAGCCCTTTTAAGGACGCTCCACCTTTCCCCTCCCCACGTTGTGGTGATACTGGTGCAACTTTGGCTGCGCACCTCTTTTGAGATTAGCCCCCCCATTGTACCGTATTTTTTTCTTGGTTCGAGAGGCAGTGAACGAGTTGGACTGACCCTTCCACACTTTTGGTTTGCCTGGGGGAATCCCGAACTCATTCCCAAGCCACCTCTTGATTCCCTACTGAGCCGCAGCAAGTTTTGGCCTTCCGGACCCCCCGGCTGAACTTGTATCCCTCCCTTGCCCCTGGACACAGAAGTGGTACATATTTCCAGTGAAGTCCCCATTCCGTGGGCTCCGCCTTGCGAATTACTCACGGAAGTGGGAAAATTCACTGGGCATATTATATAGGTACGTATCGCCCCTAAGTGGGTTGTTTTAGGGCCAACCCGACAGAACGGGGACTTCTGAATAGAGGGCGTTCTCTGGATTTGTCCTGGATGAACTGCGGGTATCATCCACTTGAGTCACCAGGGATGTCAAACCATTCACCTGGTTTTGTCTCATGCTGAAAGCCCACATGGCCGATTTTTCGTGGCTTTCCCTGAACCCCCTAGGTGCCCAACAGAACAACAGACGGGCGCCCACCTCCAGGTGGGGCGGTCATTTTAAAGCTGCAGGACCTGGCCAATGCGAAGGCCGACCTCCAGGAGACAGAGGCCACCCTCTCGGAGGACACCAAGTACGAGAATGACTTGGCGCGGGAGTGCAAGACCAAGGCCAGGGATCCTTTGCTATTGGGATGTGTGTGTGTGTGTGTGTGTGTGTGTGTGTGTGTGTGTGTGTGTGTGTGTGTGTGTGTGTGTGCGTGTGTGTTTTTGGCCCGCCCCCCACAAAATGGCATCGGTTTTCCGCTTGGTTTCCTTTTAAAGCCAACCCAAGAGGGGTTCTAATTTCAAGGGTAATTAAACCCAGGTGCAAACCAAGGTTTTCTTTATTAGCACCAGGCCTGGGTTTAAGGTTCTTGGAGTAGAGGGCCATTTGGATAATTTGGGTAAGGCCTTGGAAATACATCCGTTGGTAGTTGTTTTGGCAAATTTGGTGTTTAGTTGGTAGAACAAGGCCGGCGCATACATAGTCCTTTAAGGCCCATGAACTTTCGGTGCTGGTAGGAATTGACATTCGGTCTTAGGTATTTGGCATTTGGTGGGTATTTGGTAAGAAGGCCAGATATTCCCCTCATACCGTGGACAAAGTCCTGCACCAGCTGGGATGGATGAAGACTTGTGGATATTGGGATGAACCATCTAATTACCAACTGCTGCGAAGCGGATTTTGTCCACCACCACAGTAGATGACTCTCCTCTTGAAAAGTTCCCTTGACTACTAGATGATTCTAGGGGTTGATTTCCCGTTCTTTTCGATCATCGTTCTTTTAAAAAACCGGCTGTTTCCCCCGGGTCTTTGATGGTTTCCTGCAAAGAAGGATCCCTGGAAAGAATGGAAATGGAAGGTACCCCTGGAAGAATGGCTAGGAGCTTTTTCGCCAGGCCCAAGTAACCGGTGCCTGGCGCGGATTTGCTCAATCCACCCGCCGCTTGACTCAAAGTGCAAAACCGTCCAGGCATCGGAGTACGCTAAGACCTCGGCGCTGCGGGCAGAGGAGCAGGCCGCCTTTTCTTTTCTCTTCTTAAGATAGCACTTTTTGTTTGTTTCAAATTATATAAATGTTCATTATTTTTTTACCGTGTGGGTTTCGAGTGGTTTTGCGCAGTTTGGGGCGCTGTTTGGGGCCTTGTTCGTTCCATGTTTGGGCGGTTTGAGCGATCTTTCTTGCCGGGCGGAGAATTTGTTTGGTTCCTCATGCTGGAGGCAGAATGTCGATCCCAGATACTTACACCCTTTGGATGAATAGGGGAGTGACCCTTAGGATGAATAGGGGGGTGTTTCCTCCAAAAGCGAAGGATCGATAGGTGCCCTGAGGTCAGTTTGGTGAATAGATGGGTTCTGGTTTGGGTTTTTATGGCCCATTTCCCAGGGAAGCCCAGCTATTTCTCCAAAAGGTCACCTGGGACACGTCCCAATCAAAGACAACTATAATTGTATTAATCCTGGGTGTCCAGTACCCTCCTAACCGTGGGAATTTCGCTTGTTGGTTCCTTTTTTGGGAGTTGGGCCCCCAAAAAAGCGACCTCACATGTGTTTTTGGGTTTGAGACCGCGTTGATGAGGGTTCTTTAAGTATCACATGATTGTTGGTCTGGGTGTCAGTTTGGTTTGTTTGCCAAGGGATGTTGTAAAGGCAAGCGAAAACTTATATCGACCGGAGCCGGAGATCCATGCCAGGCTCATTTAGCTCGTTTCATCCAAGTTTTGAGTCATCATGAATGGTTAAGCAGTCCACAAAGCTGGGCTCGGACCGTTGTTTGTTTGTAGTTCTGACACTCCATTTCTTGCTCCCTTCCATTTCCTCACTGTTAAACCGGCTCAGGTTTTGAGCCGGTTTTGATTTACGGCTCTGTTCAGTTTGGAGCGAAGCTCATCAAGATGTTTGCCGACGTGCCTGGGGGCGGAAAGTTTTGCCGACTTGATGCTATGTTTTCCAGTTTAGAGGGGCATGATCATCCTTTCTCGTATTCGTCTGTCGGAGGATCAGGGATGTGGCTGTGGATTGTGTCAACACGGCTGATGTATGGTTGACGTCCAGCAAATTCCCCAACCACTTAGGACCTCACTCCCTGAGTTCATGGACTTTAGTCACTTCTTTGGGTTTGGACTGTTTTAGTGACATACACAAAAAAGGTTTTGGGTACTTTTTATGGCCAAGCCACTCGATGGGTGAGACACCTATAATGTTGACCCCGGGTTAATAAACCCCTGTTTACTAACATGGGGGTGTTCCTGATTTTAGCGGGGATTCAGACCACTTTTGGAGGGCCCCCATATCAATACGCAGGGGTGTATTCATCCGGGGGTGCATCACCCCTCCTGGCCGCACGAGTCCGGGCAAGCCTCGCCGCGTTTCTCGGCAGGCGGCGGTGAGCAAAGCGCTGGAGATCATCGGCGGGGAGAAGGTGGCCGGGGCGTCTTTGGTGCAGCTCCAGGCGTGGCAAAGGAGCGCCATTTCAACAGCCCCGGAGGAAGTTTGGGGGGGGGTTCTGCAACTTCTTTTTTTTGGGGGGTGGGGGGCTGCTGCCTGTTTATTTTCTTTTCTCTTTTTTTTTTTTTTTTGGGGGGGGGGGGCGGGGCGAGTGAGGCCCATCTTCTATGAGGATGGGGACTTTCGAAGCGGCTACCTCTTTGGAACGATTTTGAATTCACTTGGTGGAGTGATTTTCGTGGTGTGATTCCCACATGGTCCTCAGCAAACCCCGCCATTCTAGTCGACGGCACCCCCTTTAGCAGGGTCACGTGCAGCGTCACCTTGGCAGCACCACGTGCCACCCCAAAGTCGCACCCTCATACAAACCATTGCGCGACGCACACCTTCGTGAAACTCACTCGCCAGCTGCAACGGACCCCCGGCACCCTGCGCTCGTACCCTCCACTGCGTCCACCTGTAGCCGACCCGTACCACCTGCGCCTGACTCGTAACGCCAGTACCCTCCCTTCCACCCGTACCCCAAAACCCGTACACCCCCGACACGGTGCCACTCGTATCCCCAACACGTGCCACCCGACAGGTATTTACTCCTATTTTTTTGGTTGGGGGGGGGGGGAAATTAGCGGTTTGGGTTTGGTGCTCAACTGTGGTCCGCTTCATGTCAACTTTGGATCAATTTGGAGGACCATCCTTATCAGAGGTCGACATGAATCGTTTCGTTTTACATATTCCTCCGATATATATATATATATACACATGTTCTTCCGTTTCTATCTTGACGTTGATGGGAACCCAGTTGATTGGTAAATTCATCTCAACCGCTCATTCAGCACCGGAACCGACTTACGTGAACCAGCTGGAATACATTTTCCCTGTTCATACACTTGACCGAGTTCCGATATTTGTTTATTTATAGTGCTTTGTTTGTTTGTTTGTTTGTTTGTTTGTTTGTTTGTTTGTTTGTTTGTTTGTTTGTTGGTTTGTTGTTTTTTTGTTTGTTGGTTTGTTGGTTTGTTTGGTTGTTTGTTTGGTTGTTTGTTTGTTTGTTTGTTTGTTTGTTTGTCTGTTTGTTTTGTTTGTTTGTTTGTTTGTTTGTTTGTTTGTTTGTTTTGTTTTGTTTTGTTTGTTTGCTTGTTTGTTTGTTTGTTTGTTTGTTTGTTTGTTTGTTTGTTTGTTTGTTTCATTCAGACATTTGCTTCTTTGTCTTTGCGTTCTCACATTTCCCTAACCTTGCTTGTTCTTGTTAGGGTGTATTTGCAAACTTGGGAGGACCAACGTTTTGATTTGCTGATTCCTTCATTTAGTTAGCAACCAGCAAGCAGCGCTTGGTGGCCCTCAGAGATTCATTTGGTTCATTCGTTGATCCTCGATTTATCTACTTGTCTGTTTCTCGGTTTCTTGGTCATTTGTTTCTGAATTTGATTTATTCATTGCTCAATTTTGGGTGTGTCTTTTTGGTGGTACCCATTGGGGAGTGGTTTCAAAAAGAATCCAAAAGGACCAGAACTGTTGCGGCCCTGTAGTCACTCCCATTTGTCACTTGGTGGTTTGGGGGGGTTACGGTTAAGCCGGTTCTTGTAGATTGTAAATGGGCGACCACCCAGGAACACCTCCTCCAAACCACCAATCAGAGGGAAACTGACCTGCTCTGGGTCCCTTACGTCCAAGCTGGGCTCCAATTGGGCTTGTCTTTTGTTTTTTTTTGAAAGGGGTATCCCTGTTGTGGGGTGGATTTTCAAAGGAAGCCAGCGGGAGCATCGTTGACCGTAGCCATTTTTTGGGGCCCGGGGGCCCCCCTCCAGGGGTACCTTCCCCATTCTTTCCAGGGATGCTTCTTTCTAGAAAACCCCCGGAAACCCAGGGAAAACGGCGGTGTTTTGAAAAGAACGATGGTTGAACAGAATGGACAAGGAATCAACCCCTAGAACACCTGGTCGAGCTCTGATCATGGAGGCTGGCGGTGTTGGAGTCTCAAAAACGACCACCAGAAACCGAGCCAAGTCCAATGTCCAATTCCCCCCCCCTCTTCCCCCCCTCTTCCCCCCCTCCTCCCCCCCTCCTCCCCCCCTCCTGCCCCCCTCCTCCCCCCCTCCTCCCCCAAGTCCGCAGGCCGGCACCTCCCTGGCCTGGCTCCGCGCGTCGCCGGCTTCGGCTTCGGCTCCGGCTCCGGCGCAGCTGGAGGCCGCGCTGCGGGCGCTGGACGCGAGCCCGGAGCTGAACCTGGCACTGAAGAGGGCGCGCAAGGACGGCACTTGTTGTTTTGGTATTTGTTTCATGGTGTTTTCTGTGTTTGCTTTGTGGTTGCCTTTCTTGGCTTATGCTTGGATGTCTCATTGTTGGTTTGCTTTTGTTTGCGTTCTTCTAGGAAACGGTTTGGATGCGGCTTTTGTGGATCCACACCTGTAGAACATTAAAAGAGTACTAAAAGATTACTAAAAAAGACCAACAGGGGGAAGAACAGGTAAAATCCACAAATAGCGCATCCAAACCGTTTTCTAGAGTTCTTGTCTCTTCTTTTTAGAGTATTGTTCACCCTTGGATTCTTGCTTTGTTGATTATCTTCTTGTTTCGGTTTGTTGATTTGTTTCTTCTTGTTTGTTGCATTGTTTGTTGTGTTCCGTGATTTTGCAGTCTTTGGTGTTTAGTGTTTTCATGTTGCTTTCTTGTTCTTGTGAACTTGCTTCTTGTTGGCTAGGTGATTCAGTGATTCTCTTTTCTTGTTTGTTCCGTCTTGTCTGTTTCATGTTCTTGGAGTTGCATTTGAAGATAACCTGTGTGTAGTTTTTTTTGTGGCGATGGGGGGGCAGTGGGGGGGGAAGTTGGGTCGGGGAAGTATTTGTATTTGGCTTGGGTGGTCAGGATTGGACAGGGTTCCTATTCTTCCGCTGCTTGAACGGTTACCTGGGCTCATGAAATCCTTTTGGTGGGGTGATGTTTAAAGGGGGAAACCCTGTCAGATGTAGGTCCAGGTGTATCTTTCATTTAGGCAGTTGCGATTCGCTAGATGGCGAGTTGGTATCAGCTGTTGCCTCTGTGTTCCCCTCTTGGGTGGTGTCAAACATCACCTTTTGGGCTTCTGTCAAGGGTGTTTCCGTTGGCTGGGTGAGAGTTGAAAGGAAAACAAATGAGAACCCAGTGTTAACAAGCAGTTGGTTGAAGGCAAGGTGGTACTTGGATGATGAACAAATAGCGGCTATGTAGTTTGACCATTCAAGTATGTCCCAAGAAACCACATATAATATGCAGCCTCCCTAATTGGGTAGGGAACTTTTTTTGAGTCTTGGGAATGAATAATTTTTGGTAGACCGCCAGTTGGATGCTTCACTTTGGCCAAAAAGTTCTCATGGCCCGGGCGCAGGAGGGGCCCGACATGGCGGGGGTCAAGGAGGTCTTGCAGAAGTACCTCACCACCTTGGAATCCGAGCAGGCGGCCGAGATCGAGCACCAGGCCGGCTTGGGGATCGGGGACCGGGGAGCTGTTTCTGGGCCAGAAATTCAGGGATGTACCCACCACATGCTGTGGCTCTAGATCAGCTCCAAACATGTATAATATATATATATATATACACACATGTACATATACATATATATATATATATATATATATATATGTAGTTATGCATAATCATACGCACACACATATATATATATATATATATATGCACATACACACATG